TTTGCAATTTTCACAATTTTCAGGCATTTTTGCGATTTTTGCAATTTTCAGGCATTTTTGCGATTTTCGCAATTTTCAGGAATTTTTGCGATTTTCGCAATTTTCAGGCAATTTTGCGATTTTTGCAATTTTCAGGCATTTTTGCGATTTTTGAAATTTTCAGTCATTTTTGCGATTTTTGAAATTTTCAGACATTTTTGCAATTTTTGCAATTTTCAGGCATTTTTGCGATTTTTGAAATTTTCAGTCATTTTTGCGATTTTTGAAATTTTCAGTCATTTTTGCGATTTTTGCAATTTTCAGGCATTTTTGCGATTTTTGCAATTTTCAGGCATTTTTGCAATTTTTGCAATTTTCAGGCATTTTTGCGATTTTTGCAATTTTCAGGCATTTTTGCGATTTTTGCAATTTTCAGGCATTTTTGCGATTTTTGCAATTTTCAGGCATTTTTGCGATTTTTACAATTTTCAGACATTTTTGCAATTTTCAGGCATTTTTGCGATTTTTGCAATTTTCAGGCATTTTTGCGATTTTCGCAATTTTCAGGAATTTTTGCGATTTTCGCAATTTTCAGGCAATTTTGCGATTTTTGCAATTTTCAGGCATTTTTGCGATTTTTGAAATTTTCAGTCATTTTTGCGATTTTTGCAATTTTCAGGCATTTTTGCGATTTTTGCAATTTTCAGGCATTTTTGCGATTTTTACAATTTTCAGTCATTTTTGCGATTTTTACAATTTTCAGGCATTTTTGCGATTTTTGCAATTTTCAGGCATTTTTGCGATTTTTGAAATTTTCAGTCATTTTTGCGATTTTTGAAATTTTCAGTCATTTTTGCGATTTTTGCAATTTTCAGGCATTTTTGCGATTTTTGCAATTTTCAGGCATTTTTGCGATTTTTGCAATTTTCAGGCATTTTTGCGATTTTTGCAATTTTCAGGCATTTTTGCGATTTTTACAATTTTCAGTCATTTTTGCGATTTTTGCAATTTTCAGGCATTTTTGCGATTTTTACAATTTTCAGTCATTTTTGCGATTTTTGCAATTTTCAGGCATTTTTGCGATTTTCGAAAATTTCTGTCATTTTTGCGATTTTCGCAATTTTCAGGTATTTTTGCGATTTTTGCAATTTCCAGGCATTTTAGCGATTTTCGCAATTTCTGCAATTTCAGGAATTTTTGCAATTTTTGCAATTTTCAGGAATTTCTGCAATTTTTGCAATTTTCAGGAGTTTTTGCAATTTTTGCAATTCTTAGGAATTTTTTGTCAATTTTTGCAATTTTTGCATTTTTCAGGAATTTTTCCAATTTTCAGGAATTTTCGCAATTCTCAGGCATTTTTGCGAATTTTGCAATTTTCAGGAATTTTTGCGATTTTTGCAATTTTTTCTAATTTTCAGGAGTTTTTGCGATTTTACCTAATTTCAGGAATTTTTACAATTTTTGCAATCTTCCGGAATTTTTGCAATTTTTGCATTTTTCAGGAATTTTTCCAATTTTCAGAAATTTTTGCAATTTTTGCAATTTCCAGGAATTTTTGCAATTTCTGCAAATTTTGCAATTTTCAGGAATTTTTGCAATTTCTGCAATTTTCAGAAATCTTTGCAATTTTCAGGAATTTTCGCAATTTTCAGGAATTCTTGCAATTCTCAGGCATTTTTGCGATTTTTGCAATCTCCAGGAATTTTTGCGATTTTTGCAATTTTCACAATTTTCAGGAATATTTGCGATTCTTGCAATTTTCAGGAATTTTTGCAATTTTTTGCAATTTCTGCAATTTTTGCAATTTTTGCAACTTTCCGAAATTTTTGCAATTCGGAAAATCACCGAGACAGGTAAACAATAACAACAATAACTATGAGGAGAACATGTTTTCACGTAAAAATCACCTTGCTCGTTTCATCCCCTTTGCCTCCACTGATGCCAGCCGCCAGCCCCTCAAAAATGTTAAAAGACATTGTAGGGGTGAGAAGTTTTCAAAAGAATATACCCGGTATACCTCAAGGAGCATAGATTAGTGGTATGTATAAACTCAACTGTGAAAATTTAATTCGAAAGTAGGTACGAATCTGAATAATAGAAAGGCAGCAAAAACAGTTCAAGATAGGGAAAACCCGAAAGGGAATTTTTTACAGAAAAATACCGCTATTCGAATGGCTTGCACTCAACTATACATGATTTATTGATTGAAGACAAATGCAAATGGGATATCAAAATGCATTGTTACAGGGGAAGAAAAATAACTATAACATGAGTAGAATTTTTTGGTTTGTATAAACAGAATTTATATTGTGTAATAAACAACGCCATATACAGGGTGTCTCAGGTTTTACTCGTCTAACTTTGACAATCGATAGCAAAACTCAAAATATTAGATACGTATTTTTCTGTTTTGTCATGGAGAAACATGTTTTCATTATACGGGGTGTTAAGGTTCGCATACATTTTTGGTTTTTAATTTCTGTCTCAGTTGAAACAAAACCTAGCGATCTGATATTCGGTGAGCACTTTTCTATCGGCAATATGAACACTAATGAACGGTCCTTATCCATTGAAAAAACTGAGTGTTATCATAACCCCCAATGGGAGTAACGGTGTTATTCTTTTTCGAGCCCTCTGACATGGAACTCATCAGATTTTTTTATTGGGACGCTAGTGGTGGATCGAAACTAATGAAAAATCATCATTATTTCTTCACCACACTTTGTGTTTTTCATTTGTTTCAATATCTTTCGTGTACGTGAACCATTCAATATTCAATTCGAATGATAATTTGATGTAAGATAAACAATCAGGTTATAAAATTGTTATGTATAGTAGGTGTAACATTATTTCGAATAACAAGGAAACTAAGAAGGATAAGGACAGTTCATATATAACAGATAGAAAAGTGCTTACCGAATGTCAAATCTCTAGGTTTGGTTTGAACAAAAATAAAAAATAAAAACCAAAAATTTATGCGACCTCGAACACCCTGTATAAAATAAAAGTGTCTCCACGACAAAACAAAAAAATACGTGTATAATATTTCAATTTCTGCTATCGATTGTCAAAGTTAGACGAGCTAAACCTGAGACACCCTGTATATATTATAGGAACACCTTCAATTTTTAATCTCCATGTTCCTTTCGAATCTACTATCCACTGTTTCGATTACATTTTATTTTGCCAACAGTCATCATTGCGAGGTATATTTTGACAGACTGTCTTCTGCGGTATTTATAATCAGTTCGATAATTACTACTCGGCATTATAACTTTTGCTCACACAAATAATGCACAAATATTGAAAAACGCAAATGTCACTGTCGGAATACTGAAGCAAACTGAACAAGAACAATATTCCATTCCCCCGTGTATAACACTAATTCCAGGATTTTCGGACCCTTTATGTCCACCGCTTTTATGCCCACCGCCTTTATGCCCATGGCTTGCCGCTTGCCAAACATGTTAAATTTTTTATCATCTAATTGGGTGAGTCACGGGGGGCGAAACTATTATTCTTCAATGAGAGATTTTTCTGTTTATCTATTTCCAGAAGGCAAATTCTTAATGTTGACAAGAATATTAAAATATGTAACTCGTATATTATATAATACCAGTAATTACCTAGAATAAATATGATGGAACTTCTGGCATTTCTTATATTCGCATTTTGAAATTGGAATTGGGTTCCTACCTACAAACCATACTTATTTTTATTATATGGGGTAACTAATAAACGTACCTATACGTCGTATTCAATTGGGTTCCTACCTACAAACCATACTTATTTTTATTATATGGGTTACCTAATAAACGTACCTATACGTCGTATTCAAAAATTCAATCAACCCATCTACAACTTCTTTTACCTATAAGTCGTATTCAAAAATTCAATCAACCCATCTACAACTTCTTTTGGTTTCATCTCCAGTGCTAAAATTTTCTGAATAGCTTCAGTGCTACTTTTTATGAATGAATTCATTATTCATTCAACCATTCATAGTATCCATGTAGAAGTGCATTTTCGTGTGAGGGCGCACGTATCAGTGAAGAAAAATGATCCAAAATTGCGTCTGCAGAGGTCCAGCAAAAATCACTTTTGATGGTGATAGTTTGAATGGATCCTTGCGAATTTTTTTGACAACAAAGATAAATGTATAAGTGAGGCATCTGTCGAAGTACTTTTCCAAAAAAAAATACCTAGTGAGAAAAAAATAGTGAATCTGTTCAATTTTCTGGAATTTTTTTCGACAATTTTTTTTTCAAAATTTTGAAAAAGTACTCCGAGAGATGCCTAGATTCAACCTTCTTGTAACGGAACCGTGAAAAAAAATCTTAAATTTATTCAGCGAGCTTCGAGTATTTTGATTTCTGCCGTTCCTTGTTTCCCCAATGATCGCTCATAGGGTTAACTTAAGGATTTTTTTTGTCGAAACTATTCATAATTGACCAAAACGGTTTTCATGTCCCTATCTTAACTTTTCATGTACTATCTATTGATATTTAATTGAAATTGATACAGGGTGTTCAAAAATCTTAATTTTGAACCACCCTGTATTTATTTCAAATAAATATCAATTGATAGTGAAACAAATGTTGAGATAAGGATATGGAGATCGTTTTGACCAATTATGAATAGTCTCGACACAAAAAATTTCTAAGGCTGAAAAATCTCGATTTTCATCCTATAACTCTGTAATTATTACTGCTAGACCCCAAGTGTGATAGATCGATGGAATCAGCTTTTCAGGAAGAATCTGATATTGGAATGATAGACAGGGCGTTCCATTGAAAAAATCAAAGTTGTTGCTACATTTCAATATAAGTGGTAACGTCGCAACGCTGAGAAAATTTTAGGTCGATAGAATACAACTAATTATCCAAGTATAATTATGTGCTTCCTTATACCAGAGCCAATTCTGTCTGGAAGTTATTTGTTCAATAAATGAAGAAATAAATGAAAAAAGAACAGATCATTACTTCTTCTTCCTCTCTAAAATGACTTGATCGCTTCAGCAGGGTCGTTGCACGAAGACCTGTCGCAATCGTCGTACCAGCGAGTGGAAAGGCTGCAGTACCCGGAGTTCCGGCCGGTGATAGTGTTGGGCCCGTTGGCCGAGTGCGTGGCCGACAAGCTGGTCCAGGACTTCCCCGACAAGTTCAATAGGGCGTCGACCGAGTCCCGTAGGTGCTCGCAGGTAAGCGGATACACTTTTTTTTGTATCTTTCCTTCTTGGACTAATCATCGAAAGTAACATCAGTAAACAGCAGGGATCCCATCTGGGACCCCTGCTGTTCAACATTTACATTAGTTAATCTTCTGAAGTAGTCCATTCTCAAAGTGGAGGGGGATGATATCTTAGAGAGAAAAAAAACTACAGTACAGATTAGTTCCACTTGTTGATCATAATGAATACAGTTCTCTTTCCTTGATTTCAATACTTCCGTAATTCAGGATGCTTTGTTTCTTTTTTGGCTTCACCTTTCTCGAAAAATGAGCAAGCGTTATATACCTACCTTGTCCCAAATGTGGATGTTTTCAAGCTTTTTTGGAGTGATTGGCTCTGCCTTTTCCCAAAAATATCATAAACATTTTTTCAAGAAGATATTTTTTTAACGTTTAATGTAATTTGTCATACACAATTCTTGGTCTTCATGATGCAATAACCAATTCCACGTGAGTACAATCTCCTTACTCCATTCTTATTTCGCCATTTTGTTTTTCTATAGATAGGTAATTAGTTGAAAATTGTTGTACCTTCATAATCATTACTTAATCTTTTGTAACAAACCTTCAATTAATATGAATCTCAACAATAATGATAATAATTTTTCACTTGCTTTTGATATTCACCTCACATCAAATTTTGGAATTATATAACTTGTTTTTTTCCCACTTCTCTTTGTATCCATGGTTGCTGGATGTTAGGTTTGAATATCTTTCAGGTAGTTATTTGTCATATAGTGCATTTTCTTAGTTTTTTCTTGATTAAACTGAGTGGCGTCCCCTGGCCTCAACAAGCTGAATATCAAAGTAAATATAGAATTCACAACCACTGCTCACCTGACGAAGAGCTGCCGTGCCTTGTGAGCATCTTTTGCAAGATTCATTTTAAAAATTTCCAATCCAAGAATTAATGTTGAGAACCATAATTTTATAAGTTCATATCCAATACTGCATAACTTCGCCACACTATCATAAAATCCTACGAAAGCGTAGAAGGCTCACGTCACGTTTTATTTTTTAATAGACAGTTGCAACTGTCTAAATAGACAGTTGTAACTGTCTAAATAGACAGTTGTAACTGTCTAAATAGACCCTTGCAACTGTCTATTTAAAAAAAGCATTTGGAATAATTTGGAATTTGGATAACCATTTTATTGGAATTACGGGTGATTGAAGCATCGATGTACATTGCAAACGTAAAATCGTCATATTGTAGAATAGTTTGTCTACACCAACGGGATCAATAATTTGGAGCAGAAGACGAACCATGTCTTATGTAACTACTAAATTATTCTGAAGGCATTTAAGGTGCATCCATCGGTATCCATGTAATTGTCCATGAGTTTTTGAATTATTTTTAATGAATTGTTGAATTTCTAGGATGTCCGTAAAATTCTTTCTTCTGAACAATCCCAATTTGTGTAATTTTCGTTTGAGAGTGCTTAAACTAATGTTGATATCATGATTGAGAGCCAAACTGGCCAAAATTTCAGTTTGTTGGAAACCCAAACAGAAATAAAATCTAATTAATCCATCATCCATTTTACTTTTACTATAGAAAAACTACCACCATCGTTATACACGCAATACACACAGCTCGTATTAGTTAATTATAGTTATCAGCACGTGTTTTTATTTGTCCTATGTTGTACTGTTATTGTAGGTCGGGCAGAGGACAGGGGAGTCAGTATTCACTAGTCTATAGATATATATTTAGACAGTTGCAAGTGTCTATTTAGACAGTTACAACTGTCTATTTATACAGTTACAACTGTCTATTTAGACAGTTACAAACTGTCCATTTAGACATTTAAAACTGTCTATTTAGACAGTTACAACTGTCTAATTAGACATTTACAACTGTCTATTTAGACAGTTTCAACTGTATATTTTCATAGACAGTTGTAACTGCCTATTTAGACAGTTACAACTGTACATTTAGACAGTTACAACTGTCTTTTTTCATCGACAGTAACAACTGTCTATTTAGACAGTTGCAACTGTCTATTTTCAAAAAAACGTAACGTGAGCCTTCTACGCTTTCGTAAAATCCATATACCAGGTGTTGCATTTTCTTTCTATACCCCAGGATATTACAGTATATGGATTCAACATACTTCCAACTGTCAACTCAACGCGGCTTTCATAACGAATCTTATTCTGTGTGTGTGTACGCAGGCGCAACTCGATCGAGAGCTCGCCGACGGGCTGATCCTCGAGTACCGCCGGCGGGGCTCGTGCTACGAGTGCCTGACCGTGTCGGCGGTGCGGGCGGTCGCCCAGACCGGGCTGCACTGCATGCTGGACGGCTCGCCCACCATGGTGGAGAGGCTGCGCAGGCATCGGGTGCATCCGGTGGTGCTGCTGGTCAAGTTCAAGAGCACCAAGCAGATACGCGAGGTGAAGGACGCCAGGTGAGTTTGATCATGCGCGCTAGTTGGACAGAGTGACTGTTTTACTCATTTCTTTCACGAAAAAGACATGTCACGAGTGGCTCTAACGCCCACTATCGCAACTCGAACTTACTCGCTCGCAAGAGGTTTTTCTGAAAATGATAACTAAATAATTTAACTCCACTTCACAAGTTTATTCATTTTGAATAATAACAATTAGGGCATGAAATAAATTGACCATTAATTATCCAGCAAGATACATCCAACTCACATCGAAACAAAACAGGAAAACTAAAACTAGTAATACTCAAAAAAGGTACTTACAGAAGGGCTCGCTTTTCGTTGGAGGATTGGAACTGCCACTCACGAAGTTTAGACATGATGCAAATAAGTTTGAGATTTACTTCTATTAGAAGATTTGAAAAGACTTTACGGTCCACTGTCCGAACCACAACTGCCGGTTTTTTCTCTAATACTTTTTCATCTTGGTTTTGGTAGTGGTAATTGATTCAGCATAAAAACTAGTGTATTCACCTCGATTAGGAAAAATCCAAAACCAGCAGTTTCTGCCCGTCAGCGACTTTACTTGAATAATAATAAAATTGAAATCCGAACTATAATTTCCTTTGAATATCGTAATTCTCTACTGATATCCGGTAAGCTAAATAATTCTAAGAATATGATCTAGACTATGTTATTGTACTGTTCTTGAATGAAATGAGAATTTCAGATATTCTCAATAAAATTATAGTTTTTATCCATTCTTGACAATACCTAGTCGCGTTTGTTTGTGATTCTCTGGGGTAAGAATTGTGTAGGAACGAATAAAATGTGAGCCACAAGTATCATTCACTTCAACATACTGCTAACTATTTGTCAAATAACGTGTGAACCAATCATGAATTCTACCTCCGATGCCGATTGAATATAATCTATTTGGTAAAATGGTATGATCTACAGTGTCAAATGCCCTCTGTGGAACTGCTGTCAAATCGATAATTGGAGAGGTTTTTTCGGATAAAACATCTTATTCAACTCGGCATAAACAGGTTATGACATTATCCCTATAAAAGTTATTGTAAGGTAAATGATTACAAAATTATTCAAAGATGAACGTAGCGGCACCGCAAAGATACTTTACTGAGATTCGTTTTCTTGGCCCCAACATTGCGTTATATTTTTCCCATTAATCATTGGACAGCCACACGGTTACCGTCGGTTGACAGGTAATGGGTTGCGTGCAAGAACTGTCAGATGACCGACCCTGGAGGTGAAACATTGAAACACAAACTCACTTTTCTTATTTGTTCACAAGTGATTGAAATAGTTTTTCACAATTATTTTGGCATACGAAACGTGTTTTCGGCTATTCATTATATCGCGCATGCCATCACATTGTGCTGTTGTACAATGCACAAAAAAATGCAACGGGAGACGAAGGAATCTGGTTGGTACATTATGATTTAAAAGTAAGTACCTACTATAGTCACTCACATGATTTTCATTTTGAAATTTCTCTGATTTCTCATCGGAATTCCTTCAGCAATAGGAACTAATTGAAATACTCGTAAAATTTCTAAAATAATGCAAGAAGATTGCATTCATACGATCAAACTGGAGGACTGGTCTGACATGCTGACGAAATATGATCATGTGTGTTGTACACATTTTCAATCTTTTAGCAGTATTAGCTTCAATTGCAGAAGTGGCAGAAGGAATTTTAATAAGAAATAACAAAATTTAATAATGAAAACTATGTGAGATTACTAGTTACCTGGAAAATCATATTTCTTCGTCTCGCTGCATTTTTTGTGCATTGTACAACAGCACAATGCGAAGACATGCTTGAATTAATGAATAGGGCAAAAAACACGATTCGTGTGCTAAAATATTGTGAAAAACTATTTCAATCCTTTGATTCCTCTGTAACAAAAAAAAAGTGAGGTTGCGTTTCAAAGTTTCAACAGATTAGTGATGTTGTATTTCAATATGTCACCTCCAGGGTCGGTCATCGTGCACGCGATCTATTAGATGGTGATTTCAAACGCACCGGTAAGCGTTTGCCGACAGAGTCCAGTAGTTGGCAAGCAAGCGGGGAAATTTCCTAGAAATCGAAGAATGAACGAGTGATCCGTCTTATAGGTCCTCTTCTGTAGTCTATTTTTTAGTAAAAAAATTTTTAAATTTCTATATCGCTACTCCGAAGTTGGGAACCAACCAAGGAGTCGGAACTTTTTGCGTGGTTAGTAAGAGCGGGGCCCTATTTTTTTTTCTAGTGCCATTCGATAGTACACGTCGAGCTTTCTCAGTGTTTGAAATATTCGCAGTTATTTCAATGCCACCCTATATATCAAGAATATCGGTTCTCTGGTAATGATTTCGCAGTTATGTTGGTGTTGTTGGCGTATACTTATGAATAACTTATGAGTGATTTTCTGTGTCTATGTATTGTTATTATGTATGAGGTCGCATTGGTGGACCAGATCAAAAGTGGTCGCTGCGAACTGTGCCGTCATATTCCACTTACCAGGCTGCGGAAGAGCGCCAACACTTGTATCCCCACCATTCGTGATTTCAATCATTTATCCGTGTTTGGCGTTTAGGATTGTTAGCGTATACTATTTGAAGATTTGCGAATGAATCTCGGTGTCTATCTATTGTTATTGTTATTTTGTCTGAGATTATCTCCACCATTCGCGATTTCATTCATTTATCCGTGTTCGGCATTTCGGATAATTGGCGTATCCTTCTCAATGGAATCGCGATGTCTGTCTATTATTATTTAGTTTGAAGGTCAAATAGTAGCTCACCATTTGCTGATCTCCTCAGATACAGCATTGACAAGGTGTCCGGCAAAGCTGCCAAGGAGATGTTCGAGCACGGCCACAAACTGGAGGCGGAATACAGGCACCTCGTGACCGCCGTCGTGGCCGCCGGCGCCAACGTCGCCCACATCTGCGCGCAGGTCAAGGCGGCCGTGGACGCCGAGCACAGGCGGAGCCAATGGGTGCCCACCGCACAGATGCATTGATAGGCCAATCAGTTTAGCGATTAAAATCAAAAATAGGGAAAAAATAGCAAAACGTTTTAAACTTTCACAGAAGTTATATTTCAGTGTTGAATGGAACTATACGAATTTGCTCCCTCGAACAAGGCCAACAAAATTGTTGAAAATGTGAATTATAAACAATTGTGGTTATTTTGCAGACAATTTAATTCATGTATGGAAAATCCCACAAGCCGCGTGAATTTGTCATTATGACAGCGACAAAAGTTTTCCGTAACTTTTCCAGCGACAATAACGGGACCTAACTTTTGAAAGCATGACAACCAGCCATAAACAAATGTTTTACGAAAAAAATTGTCTTACCGAATTACACTTTGGCTTTTTTTTTGTCGAAGTAAACTTGGCATTTTTAGTTCAAATTGTGTTGCAATTAGGTAATTTATCTCAAAAACCTGCCAGAAAAAAATTTCAGAGGCAACAAAATTCTTATTGATACATGATACATGTTGATACAAATTCAAAGGACCCCGCACTAAACTATAGGCAAAATGGCTCTCGATGAAAATCGCTGAATTTTTGGTATGTGTTTCCGACATAAACCTCCAAATGTCATTTTTTGAGAAAAAAAGTATCTGAAAATGGTTGAATTTTTGGCATGTTGTAGATAGGAATGAACTGATGAAAAAATACAATTGACCTAACCTCCAAAAATTGACAGTTTTCTCGATATTGACCTCCGAATCGAATTTTTTCAAGTAAACAAATCTCTGAAAATGGCTGAATTTCCGGTATGTTGTAGATAGTAATGAACTGATGAAAAAATCCAATTGACCTAACCTCAAAAAATAGACAGTTTTTCGATATTGACCTCCAAGTGTACATATGGAAAATAAGATTACTGGAACAATAATCAATAGACAAAGTTGCAGTTTTCGAATCAGTATTTGGCATTTCATTCTTCTATAAACAAATCGTCTCCATATGATACATCTACAGGTGAAGAAAACCGAAGAGAGGAAGTAATGAAATAAATATTATTTAAAATATGGTTATATAGTTTCCGAAATCAATGGGGTTATAGGTATCCACAGTAGTCGAATTTATGCCATATATCTATTTTATTTTGATCATTCCATTTATTATAAAAGTATTCGATACACTCAATCATTCATAATCACCTCTCAGCAACACTATATAGCCGCCGATGACGTGACATTGACATACCGATACCGATAAAAACTTTAAGATTTTTATTGCTCAACAACCAATGAGAATATTTCCAAATTCTTCATAGAATTGAGGATTTATTTCCACAGTAGGAGTGGAGTATTGTGTACTGAAGTATACACAATACATAAATAGTATCGTATAGTATAATTGCAACGGATTGATCGCGGTATATGACGTCATCACGCGTTGTCCTGCAATTTTCATGTTATGAAATATCGTGAATTTCAATAAATATTTACAATATGTAAAGTGATCTGAAGAGAAAACGGTTCGCGACATTGAACAAAAACTTTCAATTTTTTGAGGTTAGGTCAATTGGATTTTTTCATCAGTTCATTCCTATCTACAACATACCAGAAATTCAGCCAGTTTCAGAGATTTTTTTTCATGAAAAAATTGCATTTGGAGGTCAATATCGAGAAAACTGTCTATTTTTGGAGGTTAGGTCAATTGGATTTTTTCATCAGTTCATTCCTATCTACAACATGCCAAAAATGCAACCATTTTCAAATACTTCTTTTTCTCCAAAAACTGACATTTGGAGGCCAATATCTGAAAAACTGTCCATTTTTTGAGGTTAGTTCAATAGAAGATCTGTTCAGTATATCAAAGTCTGAGACATAACAAAAATTCAGCGATTTTCATCGAGAGCCATTTTCCTTATAGTTTAGTGCGGGGTCCTTTGCCATCCAACTGATTGATACAGCCTAACTCAGCAAATTTCCCCATCCTTCCAAAACAGAATTGAATAATGTCGTATTAAGATCAAGTATGAAATTGAAATTTTGTAAGATCTCTTTAACGCCTATGAATGTGACGTGACAGCAATGTCATGTCAGGGACGACAATTCACGAAACCAAAGTCACTAGATGATAAAAAGAGAAAGGAGCTATGATCTGTCAGTACCCCGTTAGATGACAAATACGTCAGTTTTCATCAAGGACGCTATCCATAACCAAAGTAAAATAAAAAATATGTTGCGGTCATCGGCGGAGGTGGCAAATTCTCATCTCTTCAAGTTTGCCACTCTTTTAGATTGTTTTCGGACGAGTTATTAATAAAAGTATAGGTCGCGTGCACGAAGACCGACCCTGGAGGCAAAATATTGAAACACAACCTCATTCTTCTGTGAATTATTGAAACACAACCTCACTTTTTTATTTGGTTACAGAGGAATCAAAAGGTTGAAATAGTTTTTCACAATATTTTGGCATACGAATCGTGTTTCTTGCGTTATTCATTAATTCAAGCATGCCTTCGCATTGTGCTGTTGTACAATGCACAAAAAATGCAGCAAGAGACTAGGGAATATGATTTTTCAGGTAAATAGTAATCTCACATAGTTAGCATTATGAAATGTTGTCATTCCTTATTAAAATTCCTTCTGCCTTCTGCCACTTCTGCAATACAAGCTAATGCTGCTAATAGATTGAAAATGTCTACAACACACACGATCGTCAGCATGTCAGACCAGTCCTACCGATTGATTGCATGAATCCAATCTTCTTGCATTATTCTAGAAATTTCAGGTATATTTCTATTAGCTGATCCTATTGCAGAAGAAATTCCGATGAGAAATCAGAGAAATAACCAAATTTCAAAAATGAAAACTATGTGAGTGACTATAGTAGGTACTTACTTTTGAATCATAATGTACTATCCGGATTTCTTCATCTTCCGCTGCAGTTTGTGTGCATTTCACAACAGCACAATGTGATGGCATTAGCGAATTGATGAATAGCGGAAAAATACGATTCATATGCCAAAATAATTGTGGAAAACTATTCCGATCACTTGTAAACAAATATGTTTTGCCTCCAGGGTCAGTCATCTGACAGTTCTTGCACGCGACCTATACATAATATATTTACTGTGATGCCACACTTGGAAATGGATATTTCCTTTGTTGCGACTCTTTTGCATTTTTTCTCTGCAAAATAACCAAAATTGTTTGTATTGACATTTTTAACAATGTTGCCGGCCTTGTACGAGGAGGCAAATTTTTATAGTTCCATTTAACACCAAACTACAACTTCTGTGAGAGTTTGAAATGGTTTGCTATTTTTTCTCCATTTTTGCTACAGTGTTGTTGTTTTCGTCGCGGCGTGTTGATGCAGGCGAATGGTCCAATTGCGTTGCAATGGATCCAGTAGTCGGTTTCATCAGCGCGTTCCCCATGTTTGAAGAAAATATACTGGGTGTAATATAAGTATGCCGAGATTTTTAAATAACGTTTTCATGAGGCCATTTTGGGTAAAAAAAGTCCAAGATAAGGATGTCCATCGTGGGGTGAAGTTGATGATGGTTTCTCCGAAACGAAACGTCGTACGTGGAAGCTCTCAACGTTGTTTTGTAGATTTTGAAAAGTGGCAGTGAAAAAATGTGTTTTTTCCATATCTCTTCAAATAACGTGAGAGACATCCTTATCTTTGACACAGTGCATAAGTTCATTTCTGGATATTCTATTCGGAGGTAAGGTGTAAAAATTGATATATTTTTTTCGTTCTTTCAAAATGACTACAAAACATTTTTTAGCACATTGTTTGGTATCCATAGGTGAGAAATCATATTTTAATTTTCATTTAGCACTTCGAGGGCAATACTTACGCTGTTATTATTCATTTGAATTTGCTCCGTACTATTTTGACAGTCACCTTGTCAATTTTCTTGAGGAAAGATTGCAATAATTTTATTGAATAGAAAAATGGATACTTCCTCAACAATGCTGGAGGTGATCGTTCTCGAGACATTCACAATGTTTTATATCAATTTCAACACTCTATATACAAAGCAAAACATTTCCGGATACGAGTTTATTTTCCTTCAAGTGGTTTCAGGATATGTCAGCCAAATAATTTAATATCCCTTTTTTACACCCTGTATACAATGTGTGCGATTTCAACTCGCAACACCCTCGTAATTTGGAAACTGTTGACTGATTTTTCACAGAACAAATCTGAAATATTCAGATTTTCAAGGCTTTCTATTGTTTCTGAAGGGGTCAAAATCTCAAAAATAACCATAACGCAATTTTTTCTTGATAAATGAACGGCCTATTCAATTCTGGCATAACTGGAACACCCCCATACAAAGTTTCATCATAACAGCTTAGTCACCAAAACATCAATAAAACTAAAGTTGAGGTTCACCATTTTGAAAACTCAAGAAAACCGTTTATCACGCACTTCCCTAAACACTTACTCTCGTGGAATATTTCAATGAATTACATTCGTGCATAAAATTGACCAGATAATTTCCTATTCAAGCGTTTTATTTTATGCAAATTGCATTCGGTTATTTTCATAATTTTAGATAACACGCTTTCTTGCAAAATGATCGGTAATGTTTATGCATTTTTCATCTTGATTGACAAAGAGCTGTCGAAAGGTCTGTAGCAAAAAATACCAGTAAATATAATTTCTATCTACTACTAGGACGATGAAAAAAATTGATTGAAATATGTTAATTTCAAAACACACACTTCCTGCGCAATAGCAATAGATAGCAAAAAATCGAATCAACTAAGAAATATATGTTTTGTCTCACACCGAAGCAGAATGTGAGCAGAATGCAATAATATAATATATTTATTCAATTGAAAGATATCGAAAAAATATTCAATACTACTTTATAAATTCAATGTAAGCCCGTTTTCATAGTTTTTTTCAATGACATTTAGTATTATTCAACTAAACATATTACGTGATATATATTAGTTTTATTTCAGTAAGGTATAGTAATTTTGAAAAAACATTTATATTTCATTATAATGGCCGGGTGCCCCATTTCAATCCATAATTATTTTCAATTCGGGGTTTCAACTTTCATATTTGACAAAATTCAATGAAAATTTCGTCATTTTCAATTATTTTCAGGAACATGATCAAAAATATCGTATAAGTACACTTTAAAACAAACAAAAATTCACCCCGATCTCAACTCAATAAAATGTACTCAAATAATTAATTGAACTAATGGCAACGTCGAATACTAAAGGATCGATGTTCACCCGACGGCTTCTCTGCGAGTACTAAAATGAATAAGGTGAATGTCGTGCGACGTTGTCAGTTTATTTATGAATGGGGAAGACCACTGAGGAAAGAAATCCGTGCAAACCTCTTTCAATCAACGAATCATGATTTACATTTCATGTACAATCAATATTATGAGTTGAAGGGAATCGAATCTATATCGTTTTTGAAATCAGCATATTTCATTCGTTATTTCGAAGAGCCAAATATGATGGTGGAGCTGTGACGTATTAGTCCCGAACTGTAGTTATCTCTCTCTGATACCTCGTCATTCTGCAGTGTTGCAGTGTAATTGGTCAGTTCAAGGACAATAGGCGTGTTGGGACTGAGACGTCGCACCAGTCACACCAATGAATTGATGAAATTTCAAATGGCGCAGGAATTGCGTGTTTTGAAATGGACATATACTAATTTATTTTTTTCATCGTCTTAGCATGAATGAAAAAATTCAAAATTAATTCACTGGTAGTTTTTCAGTATAGAGTTCACGATAATGTCGTTTTAAAAAATCAGTGGTCTTCCCCATTGCTATTTTACATCAAGTCGTTGTCGCGCCACTGACGCATAAATGGAAGTGGTCTGAGAGAGACGGAAAGTACTGTGTACTTTGTCAGTGATGACGCTTGTGTAAATTTCTTAGTTGATTCGGTCTTTACAGTTCGGGCTTAATACGTCACGGCTTCACCTTCATATCTGGTTTCTTGAAACATTCAATGGATTTCGAAACGCTATAGAGTCGATTCCCTTCAATTCAACTTATAATATTGATTGTAAATTAAATGTTAATCATCAGCGATCTTCCCCATTGAGCTCGTTGATTTTTGTTTCGGAAAATAATTCAACAGGTTCGAAATTATTATGGTGTTAAGTGTTTAAATCGCACTCAGACATAGAGAAAAACTAGGTACCTACACATTTTTTTTTGAGCAGCAGTTTATTCTAATTCAATCGGAATATTCAATTAATGTATCTTCTGACTACCCTGTAGGCGACAAGACGGCAAACTTGTATGACTGCAATGTGTTTAATTTTAACTGAAAATCGAAAAACATCGAGATTATTTTGCTTTAACTTTAGCTAATAATAATTTTGCATAACATTTCAATTTATAATATTTCCGAATATGTTCAGCTTTGGTTTGGGTTTTTATTTATAATATTTACTAGATCGAGTATTATAGCAGACAAAGAAAAACTGAAATATACGTCAATAAAATGTGATAGTCGAAGTCCAATATCAGAATTGTATTCGTTTATACATTCATACATTGTAATGAATATAAAATATGTGATAAACAATTGGTTTCTATTATATCCTTGTCTCCCCTTGAATGTAGCTTGCCATAATATTTTGGGTTATAATAATTTCTTGGGAGTTAGGTAGTTGAGCGGAAAAATTTGGATGCTATGTCGTTCTGAAGACAAACCAGTTTTGAATGTGAAGGGAAGTTTCCTATATTGGGGTTCTTATCTCACTGTGAAGTGTGAAGTTTGAAAAAAATTAATATATCAATATATCTAGATTTCCGGAAATTGATCTTTGAATGCATAGATTCTTCAATCCTACTTTGTCAAGTACTATGAATAATTCTCATAAATCTCTCTCATTGACGATAAAGATAAATTATGATATTTTGCGATAGTATCTTTAATTTTTCACTATCGTTATGTTACAATATGTTGTTCATAACTTGTCAGTCATTTTTTTGCTAATGAACTCGTTCCTTGATAAAACGGATCTATTTTCTAGGAAATTTGCAGATTATATCTTGCAACAGCGCCTTATACTTCGAGTCCGTCCACACCACTCAAAATACTGACAGGCACAACAAGAGGAAGGAGCCATGGGTGTCGGCTTCATTCTGTTCTGACCGATGACAGTAAATTAGGAAGAATAGTATCATTGAATGTAGCCGATAGTGATTCATTGATTCAATGATATTTTCTTTTAGAACCGAGCTCTATTCGATATATTTCAATGCATAAATAATAAAACCATAACCTGTCACAATGAAACCAACTACCCTCTGCATTCCTGATCCGAGTGCATTTATGGTTGATTTTTCATTCGTTAGCTATTTGTTAGCTATTCGCTTGGTATATTCTTCACCATCAGCTATTTTCAGACTATATTCAGAATGTACGTCACATTTTGCCGCCCCGAAAATTAGAAATTGCTTTAATTTGAAAATGAAAACGCATATTTTATAAAAATTCATCTGAAAGAAACTTCCCCATTGATCGACGTATACTCTGGGAGGTAATTCTGTAGATAAAGATAAGAAAAACTGTTCCTATCAACATGTGTCCGAAAATGCTTCTTTAGAGTGCTAGAGGACTTTGGACGTAGGCCTTTGAATGCAGTTTTCTTCAATTATCTTCACTATCATTGATCCTAGAATCACGAAATTTGGTACCTTGAGGTGATTTGATCTCACAAATCGTTTTGTGGTACGGATTACATCATTTAATATACAGGGAGTTGCGAAACTTGTATTGTAACCGATACTAGGCAAATGCTCCAAGTTTTTTTGCTTCAAGATTTATCTCATGTCTACTACCAGAATATAATTCTTCAAACACTTACATAAAGAGGGTATACCTATTCGAATGCATTATACAGGGTGTCCCATAATTAGCGTGCAATACTTCACCAGCAGATTTAACGATCAAAAACAAGAAAAAAGTTCCTATGAACATAGGTCGAATAATGTTTCATAAACGAGCTACACCCCCCTAAAGGTGGTACCCTGAAGATGGTTTTTATTTTATATCTTCGAAACTGTTGATAGCAGAATTTTGAAATTTTGCAAGTCAGCCAAACTTTTTATGTCTAAATAATTAATATGCGATAATAATAATTTCGAAATTCCATCCAGAGAAATGGGTCAAACTTTGGGGGTGGGGGGTAAAATCACCCCGACTTTTTCAAGTGCGGTTTTTTTCCACTTCAGCAAGAAATTATGAAACTATCTGAAGCCTTTTGTTCCAAAAGGTTCCTCTTGTTTAACTTCGATAGGAAGCACCGTTCTCTAGTAAAATCGAATTGAAATAAATTACCTCACATGTCATAAAAATGCATAATAAGAGTATACAAAAATCAAAAAATTGAGCGTAGGCCATGAAAAACGACCACTATGGGCACTATGTTTGGGAAAAAATAATCAAGACAGGAGACAGATTAAGTGTCTCCACTGTTGCTACCTATAGGTCTTCTGATAAACTGAGTTTATAGAAGCATCAGGTGAAGTAAATCACAACCCAGACAAGTCCCAGAAGTCTGTCCGAACAGCGTCAAAATTAAGGCCTCTGACTGAAGTAGACACGCGAGAGGAGCTCCTGTAGAGATTGAATGAGGCTGCAAAAGAAATTAGATTGAACCAATTTCAAAAATTCTGCGTGCTCCCCAAGCAATAAGTCGTCGGACCCGACTATATGAGTTAAACAAACAAAGCCAATTTGAGAAATTACATAGGTAAAAAAAATATCGCTTAGATAAATAATTTAGTATTTTTTCATAAAATAAATGAATGTACAAACCTTCTGTCACTTATTTCATGAATTTTTCACCTGTCTTGATTATTCTTGCAAGAACCTATAGTGGTCGTGTTTCATGGCCTACGCAAAAATGTTTAATTTTTCTAATTTCTTCATGAATTTAAATTTTTTCATGACAAAGTGAATTAATTTTGAAATCGATATTAATCGAGAACGGTGCTTCCTACAGAAGTTGAACTAAAGGAACTTCTTTATGCAAAAGGCTTTGAAGTTTTATATTTTTTTGCTAAAATTGCGAAAAAACCGCACCCAAATAAGTTGGGGTGATTTAACCCCCACCCTCCAGAGTTTGACCCACTTCTAGATGACATTTTGGAATAATCATTATCGCATATTATTAGTCATAAAAAGATTGGTCGACTTGCGAAATTTCATAATCCTGCTATCAACAGTTTCGAAGATATTAAATAAAAACCATCTTCAGGGTACCACCTTTAGGGGGATGTAGCTCGCTTATGAAACGTTATTTGACCTATGTTCATAGGAACTTTTTTTCTTATTTTTGGTCGTTTTTCCTCCTGGTGAAGTATTGCACGCTACTGGTACTGGTACTGGTGGGGGACGTTTCCACGTCAGCAACTAGTCCCCAATGGGACCTTTTTGCAAGCCCCAAGTGTTTTCAATGACTGATGTGGTTCGCTCAAGAGAGCTGGCTAACATCCTTTTCAGGCACCGCCCATCAGCTCTCTGTTCAGAGTTTTTCAGCTGTGTTTTGTAGGCTCTATAGTAATGTACTCACTACCATATGCGCAGTGGCAGGCCTGCTAACTATCATCGTTAACCCCCGAGACCGAGGTCTACTTAAGCAGCTGGCCCGCTCTCACGCTCAGCTGGTAGTTTTTCCACACCCACCTACATACACCGTCCTACTTCTTCTCTGATGCTCACAACCACATCATCATATCTTTCTGCGTGTTCTGTGTAGGCTTTGTTACTAACTCCATGCGCCACTTTAGGAGCAGCACTGTTAATTGGAACGCTACAGCGAATCGTGCAGGACTATCCCCAGCCGATGCTCCGAAACTTTACAATATTTAATTCGTAAATAAAATATTGAAAAAAAGTTCCTTGCCCGTGCTGGAAATCGAACCCACGACCTTGCGGTCGTGAGACGGACGCTCTTCCACTGCGCCAATACCGGCTCAGTATTGCACGCTAATTATGTGACACCCTGTATAACGAAAGTGTCATATATTTCATTTTGATGTCCGAAAAAATTCACGATTTTGAGCGCTTGTCTTATGGTATAAAATTAAAACTTGATAATTAATCTTAATAAAAATTAAATTGATAATTTCAAAAGTTAGTTATTTGTTTCATTATAGTATATCGTGATATTGATTTGGTGAGAAAATAGACTAAAATTCACAAACTTATTATTTGTTATATAAAGATACATTTTATCTAACAAGAATACCATTTTCTTGTAAAATTATTTGAAAAATTATATATTTTGGTAGTAGGAATGAAATATATCTTGAAACAAAAAATTTGCCGCAAATTTATGGCATCAGTTACGAAAGTCCGCACCTCGGATCCCTCTGTATATTGAATCATGAATTGTGAGATTTAATCAGCATAAGGTACCAAATTTCGTGAGTTTATAAAGATAATTGAAGGAAACTGCATTTGAGAATCTAAAACCTTCAATTTAGGGCCCTTATACAGGAAGAATTTTCGGACACACATTGATAGGATTGATAGGAACATTTTCTTCTTATTTTTATCTCCGGAATTACCTCCCGTATACGAACGTTGTTGTGAGATGTTGAATGATTTAATGAAAATTAAAGTAATAACAGGTAGGTATACATACTATATAGCAAGGTAGGTATATATTAGATATATTATTGTTGGTTGTTGGGCACGTTTCAACTTTAAATGATGATATCAGTCACGAAATGAATCTAAAATTAAACTATTACTCAATTGCTTTCCATCAACAATGTAATCTGAATACTTAATAATTGATCATCATTATCAGTTGATATTAAGTCGTGTTTGGTGACGCCGAATTCCCAGAGTTCTTTTTTACTGAAAATATAATCTAATAATAATAATAAAGGTGAGTAAGTATTATAATCGTTAATTGAAAAATATTTAGTTACAACGAGTCTTATATTCAATGAAAGGTGAGTCCAAGAAATCGTTATTCCATCATATAGGTATAGTGTCTTATATTGCATATTTTTAATTTTATTCATCTCTGCGTTCTGCTCAGAGATACCTACCAATAAAATATATGGCATATATATCCTCTTTTTTACTTAATAGTTTTGAAATTATATAAATCACACTTTTTTGAAAAATGCTTCTTTCTCTCTTACAAATTCTTTATTTCCAGTACATTTTTGAAATCAGCATCTCTGAATCCGATGATAATATACACACATTTTATTGTGTTTATTTTTGGAGCATACATTTTTCAATTTTCAAATTAATTTCCTGGAGAGTATATACCTTGACTGTTGCAATTGAATAATATATTTTGTGATTTCATACATACTTATTTTTACTAAAACTGTGTAATATCTTTGGCGAAGAACGTATGAACTAGGAAGGACCACATGAAATTGAACATCAAAAAAATCTTGATTATGGCTTGAAATCACGCGACTGATAACTTGCAGTAGGCAATTCAAAAATGTTGAACTCTAACTGCTTAAATATGTATTGCACTGATTCCAACGTTTTATAATGATAATTTTTTCAACTATTCTATACCTAGCCGTATTATTGTGAGTTGCATGTGCAAAATTTCAAATTTAAATTTGCCGCATTTTCACTCTTCTATCATTCTTCTTCTCATTCTTAACAACGTGCTCTAACCTTAAACAATCTAAACATTGAGGTTAGGTTACTGTCAGTGTCAGTAGTGTCACATGTCTTATCTTGGAAGTCGATGGTCGTTGTGTGCATGTGTGCAGGATCAGGATCTGAGGTGCAGATCGTTCTTTTGAGTTGTGTTTTTTTTGAAAAAATTGAGTGAATGATCGTCTTTTAATTATTTTTTTGTTTACAAAACCCGTTGAGTTTTGAGTATATTAAATATGAGCAATAATTTTTATCAAGTAGTTCCAATCCGAGAAAGACAAAGTACCAGTGCAACCAAGGTGAGAAAATATAAGTATTTTCAACTACCTACTGTAACTCTTTTTCAAATATATTAAGTGTTTTCCTGTATCCCGATTTTAAAGAAATATAGGTTAGATAACTATAACTGTATGATGGAAATGATCTACTGCATATTATTTAATTTAAGATATTGGATGATGCAACTTCAAATTGATATTGATAAGTATTGCTTCAGAGGAAATATAATATAAACAGAACAGAGATCAATAACCCATGCAATAACTTTTAATTGGTGCCTATCATATGATACACATTACCTAATCTAATGCTGGACTTCACATAATTATAATAATCATTCTCTTCCAGTTTATTTTATTGTTGCAACTGGTGAATACAATAACTCAAACAAATCAAAGACTATCTTAGCTATGCCTTTGTTTAAACCCTTAATTTCTCTTTTAATTTTTATTCACAACATCATTATAGGTATTCATGGTTTTTTAATAAGGTACTTACCTATTAATCATTCTGAATTTTGTGTAACTCTAATACAATCCTATATTTTGGCGTCGATATTCTGTCTTCAGACTGTTTCTAAATAGGTATCATATCTTGCCTCCTATCCCATTTGGCCATGTATATTACTGTCATTATTAGGGAATAAAGTAGGATGTACCTATTCATTGTCTGCTAAATATGGAGAAAAAAAATCTAGTGGGCTGTAACCTGTAACTACTACCTATCCATCAGAAGTTAGACACACTGTAAAGGTATAGTGACTCCTCAACCAAATTTGGCCTCAATAATATTCCCCCTAATGCATCGGCATTTTATAATTCATATTCATATCCATGATCTATGATTTTGTGTCTTCTCAAGTTGCAGTATAAAAAAATCGAAAATGTGTTTTTTCCCAACCTAATTTTTCACTATGAGAAGAAAATGCCATGAACACTTCTTTGTGTAGAATTATCTTATGTTCAAATTTTAATTGATGTATTTTGGTTGTAAAATCAATAGGAATGGATAATAAATAATTTTGAAGCAAGATTTTTGACATTCAAATTGCTGCCAAATGTCTCGCATAGCCTCCTACCTCGGGGATTTCAGATACTATTCAGGACCACAATAGTACCTTGGGAAAAATTATTTCCTATTCAGGCGCAATTTTTAACTGATAGCAGTGAACTAAAGAAATAATTCAGATAAATATAACATTTTTGATTTAGATATTTTTTTAACTTGAGGTGCAATTTAGGAGTACCTATACATATTTTCAAAAATAATTTCATAATTTATGTAGCTACCTCAGTACAGGGTGGCTGGAAGTCGAGCCTAATCATTGGAATCTCATAAACCGTAAGAGTGTCAATATCGGTTAAATTATGGCAAAATTTCTACCTAACAAAATTCCTTTCTGAAATTTGAAAACATTCAAATACTTCCGAAGATTTTTGGAAAAAGCCGAATATTCGCGATTTATAATAATAATAATAAATCATTTATTCTCCTTTTGATAATACAAATATTATAGTACAGTGTGTCCATTTAGTGTGTAATTCTTCGATATCTCGAAAGCGATAACCTATAGAGAGAAACTTTGGAGAAAAAACTTTTTCAGTTACTGAAGTTGCTTATTTCAAAATTATTTTCAACATTACTGGGTGTTTTATAAAAGCAGGGCAACTCGAAGCAGAGTTTTATTAAATGGAACACCCAGTATTGTTCATTCGGAATTAATTCCGCCGAGGTTCACCTTCACATCGCTGTAAAAAAAATTGGAATCGGTTGCGGCGTTGCCAAGTTATAATTGATAAATCTATTTTTACCATTATTGAAGAGTCATGTTGAATTGGGCATGGTATATTCATTTATTCAAATTTTGAAAATATCTTTGGCATACGGTAGGAGCAAGGTCCAACGTATACCAATCCAGTAATTTTGCGACATGTTCTTCAACAGGTTGCTCAATTTTGCATTTAGAATTTTGCAAGATTCAGATGACATTCATCAGAATTTTTCAAATGGAACACCCTGTATTTTTATCCAAAAATACATTCCGACATCTTTCGCCTTTTTATCGCTGTAAAAAAAATCGGAATCGGTTGCGGCGTTGTCAAGTTATGGTTAATTTCCTTATTTTTACTACTATTTCAGGCTAATTTGTACGTCATAGTTCTTTCATTAATTTGTATTATGGAAATATTGCGTTGCTACGGTATAATCAAATTTGTTCATTGACCATTCATATATTTTCTACAAAAGGAACATTTACAGGCTCCCCAAGTTTGATTTTTTTTCGAAATATTTGTGTAATGACCTGTCAAACATCGCCACAATCAAATATATCTTGGATTGATTTGACATTCTGCTGAATTCCCTCCCAAAAGCCGCGTAGTAGAGACATGTTGTTTGTATCATTATGTTTACCTTCTTCAAGTTAAATGGAGATTTGGATTGTGGGAATAACGATAATAAAAATGGCCCAAATTTCAAAAAATTGTCCTAATTATCGCAATCCGCATCTTCCTTGTTTGTATTGTAGAAGTTATTTTAAAGGCAGGCGTTGCTTTTGGCATTTTTGTTTGTTTCACATATTATCTGAATCATAAGTAACAAGATTACAAAAATACCTGAATTATCTATGTAGAACCTCGAATGTCATGTGGCAAGCAATATTCCCACACTCAAATCAAATTAAGAAATCATCATGACGTACGGATTACCCCGAAATAGTAGTAAAAGTAAGGAAATAACTCATAACTTGAAAACGCCGCAACCGATTTTGATTTTTTCTTCTGCGATGAAAAGGCGAATGATGTCGAAATAAATCCGTGATGAAAAATACTGGGTGTTCCATTTGAAAAATTCTTATGATCGTCGTCTGAATCTTACAATATTCAGAATGTAAATTTCAGCACCCTGTAGTGGATTATCTCGCAAGATTACTGGATTGGTATACGTGAGACCTTGCTACTACTGTATGTCAAAAATATTCTCGAAATTTCAATAAATAAATATAGCATACCCAATTGAACATGACCCTTCAATAGTAGTAAAAATGGGTTTATCAATTATAACTTGGCAACGCCGCAATCAAATTCAATTATTTTTACAGCGATGTAACGCTGAACTTGAGCGGAATAAATTTCGAATGAACAATACTGGGTGTTCCATTTGAAAAACCTCGTCTTTGAGTTGCCCCGCTTTTATAAAACACCCAGTATTGTTGGAAATATTTTCGAAATGAGCAACTTTAGTAACTGAAAAAGTTTTTTCTCCAAAGTTTTTCTTTTGCGATAATTGATTCCGAGATATCGAAGAATTACACACTAAATGGACACACTGTATAGGAATAGTCAAATTGTCAGAATCAAAGATTCATAATGAGAAAAATTCTCCTACACCGTAAAAACATTTATCTACTAAAAAAGTTCTTAGCCTACGTTTGAATAAAGATATAGAATCACTATTTTTTACTATGTCAGGTAAATGATTCCAAATTTTCGGCCCAATATAGTTTGGAGCAACAGATGTTATTTTAAATTTAGCATATGGTACATGAAAAAGATTTTTGCGTCTTGTATCTATTTTATGAATAGCGCTATTTACTAAATTTTGTTTGTTTTCAAATACGTTCAAATAGAATATGAAACTGAAGAAAATGATGGAAGTAAGATATGGTGCACGTATTCGGCCATTATTACGTATTGAAAATTTCAGAAAAATCACTCGACCACCTACTATGATTTCTCTACGTCACAACGAACGAGACGTTGATTCGACGAGTGGAAATAAAATGGCAAATGGCATTTTAGGTACGCGGAACATATGTAACACTGGGATTATTCAACTCTGAATTCGAAAAATCTGCGACAATTTCAAAACTGACAGATGTCATAATTGTGCAATGTCGCCATCTATTAGAAGATCGACGGAACCATTGCTCTCGCTGTCCTCGAGAGGACATTCTTTGAACGGAACAAGCAAGGAGATCGGGTAAAATTCAGGCAAAAACGTACCTCTTTTACTACTATTTGGCATGAAAATGGTCGTGGTCACGTGACCTAGTGTGGAATGGGCACCATCAACTTATTTTTCATATATGAAGAGGGGTCACGTGGTACCTTGTTTTGAAGGCCTTTCGATTCTCTATCCAACTCCGCTCTGTTTGTGCAAATCGGTCAAGCCGTTTCAAAATGACAAGAGTTTGAAATGTTCCTCGGAAACAGTAAATCACGTTCGGATTGAATTCCAAAAACGAATTTTTCGTGTCAATAAGTGAACGATGAACATTTCGAGCATGTTTGAGCACTTGTTACAATTCCTACTTGAAATTCTGTTGCAATTGAAAGTTATTTAGGTTTTTTATTCAGTAATATTAATATTTGAAGCAAATTTCAAACGCTTGTCATTTTGAAACGGCTTGTCCGATTTGTACAAACGATGCGGTGTTGTATAGATAATCGAAAGGCCTTCAGAACAAGGTACACGTGACCCCTTTTCATATTTGAAAATAAAAGTTGATGGTGCCCACTTGATACTAGGTCACGTGACCACAACCATTTTCATGCCGAATATAGTAGTTAAAGACGTAACTTTTTGCCTGAATTTTACCCGACCGCGCTAGCTTGTTGCGTTCAAAGGTTAAAGGAGGAGGAGGAGGACTTTTACGTCCTCACTGTATAAGTATTCGATTATTAGGGACCAGGTCGAACTATCATCTCCTGTGAATGTGAATACTATTGTCATTGGTCATATTGAATCTCATCAGGTAATTACTATAGTTACTATTGCTGGAGTATCAGGTCACTAGATTTTTTCTCCATATTTAGCAGACAATGCTAGTTACAAATCTGGCAATAGTGAAATAGTCAATTGAATTTCAGAATGTGTCATTTGGATTCCAGAAACTATCAGTTGAAATTCAAATGACACTTTCTGAAATACAATTGACACTTCCTGGAATACTAGTGGCTATTCTGCAATTTCATTGGCGCTTTCTGAAATCCAATTGGCTATTCTGAAATACGATTGATGCTTCATGAAATACTAGTGGCTATTCTGCAATTTCATTGGCGCTTTCTGAAATCCAATTGGCTATTCTGAAATACGATTGATGCTTCATGAAATACGAGTGACTATTCTGAAATAATTGTGTAACTAACTGGAAACGCTGTGGAGTTATTTCTATTCCAAATGCAATTATTTAAATTATCAACTTGAGTACACAAAAAAAGCGCACAAGTATATTGGAGGGAGAAATTAACGTCATCCTATTTGCGTAAAACGGGCTATCGGGAATGAATGTTTACTAAATGTTGACATTAGAGTAATCATAGGTTCTCAAAAACACAAAGTAATACGACTGTACCTACTAACTGCATGAGATAACATTTTCAATGTTGTTCTAATTTCCTCTTGTGACACTTTGTTATCCAAATTCTTTTTTTTTTCAGATGGAAAATGGCTCATCAAGAAGCTACTTTGAGAAGTTCCTATATTACCTCAGTTATATAACTGTAGAACCAACTCTGGTGTTGTACATGTTGGCATTCATGACCACCTCTGTTATAGAACAATCATTTTATGTATACAAAGCTTGCACTGTCAACCATGGCTACAACAAAACGATTTGTGATAATATAAATGACAAACAGTATGCAAATTTTACCAAACAAGTTCAGGTAAATTATCATTCCTTTATGACATTAGCTGCGATCATGGGGAAGTTTTCATTTAATTAGTTTTGCACTTACTAGCTTCATGTTTTTGCAATATAAAATGACCAATTGTTTAATCAAATGGTTCAAATAATTTCTGTTGACATATTTGATGAATCTAGTGTGAATATAGGTATGATAGGTTCAGCTGTCCGTAATTTAACATCCGAACAAGCCGGATCTCAAAACGAAAGGAGAATCAGAAGAAGAATGCATGACCTTCTGAGTAACAATTATCAACAGTCATATAAATCCCAGTGGAAAAAGAATCACAATAAAGATATGAATCAACAGATTCAACAATGAAAACAGCGCATATCTACTAGACCATGAAAAAATAAATGAAAAGTAACAATGAGATAATAACCTTAATAAAAACTAAATAAAAACGCAACAGTAAAGTTTGATTCAACGGGTTAAACTAGTATCAGGAAAATATGTGGGCGCACTGTCAGATTTCATTTACTAATGTTTTGGAAACATTGAAAAAAAAAGAGAAATATTTCAAGTCAGAATTTTAGTTTGATTCTATCATAGATGGATTCTATCAATTTCAGGATGCCACAAATACATATATGTGAGTGAAAAAAAGGCAACAGTCTAGCTAGCAAAATAGCCTTTCAGTTCTGTGAATCTGTGTGAACATGGAAGTTCATCAAAGACGTCAACAGAATGTTGATGGATTTGAAACTAATTCGAATTATTTTTCCAAAATCTGATCCGATATGGTAATAAGAATACTAGTACAATGCTTTTTTGCAATTTTTATGAATAGATTCTGAATTCCCATAGAAAATACTTCACTTTTGTCAATTTGAACGTTTCTGTAAGACCAATAATAACTGAGATTGCTATTGAGTCAATTATAACCAATCACATTGTACACCAGACTTCCAACTAGAGATACCAGACTTCCAAAATCGTCAAATAACTTTTAATGACTTCCAGAGATTTGCTAAGCCTCCCAATGATTTTCAATGACTTCCAATGACTACCAAAGACTTTCAGTGACTTCGAATGACATCCAGTGACTTCCAGTATCTACCAAAGACTACTAATGAGTACCAAAGACAATCAATAATTTTCAGTGACTTTCAATGACTTCTAAAGACTTCTAATTACTTTCAGCAACTTCCAAAGCCTTTCAATTCTTGTGTCCAGTAACTTCCAATGAATACCGAAGGCTTCAAGTGACTGCCAATAACTCCCAAAGAGTTCCAATGATTTCCAGTGACTTTCAATTTCTCCCAAAGACTTCCAATGATTATTAAATACTTCTTGTGGCTTCCTATGACTTCTAAAGACTCATGCGATGCAGGAACATCCAGAGATTTTCAAAGCCTCCCAATGGCTACCATATAATACTAAGGACTACCAAAGACAACCAATGATCTTCAGTGACTTTCAATGAGTTCAAAAGAATTCTAACTACTTTCAGCAACTTCCAAAGCCTTTCAATGAATTCTAGGGTCTATTAATGTTCAGTTACTTCCAATGAATACTGAAGGCTTCCAGTGACTTTTTCTATAACTCCCGAAGACTTCCAGTGACTCTCAATGACTCCCAAGGACTTCCAATGACTATCAAAGACTTCCAGTGACTTTCAATCACTTCTAAAGACTCCCAATGACTTCCAATGACCTTCAATGACTTTCAATGAATCCCAATGACTTCTAGTGAATCCCAATGAAGTGTGGTCAATATGCTGATGACGGAATGGCCGGTCGAGTACGTGATTTATACGGCCACGCTGCCGAGTGCCATTTCTGGGGCAGAAGTTGCGATATTAAAAGATAACAGGACGATTCAATAACTTTCATTGACTTTCAATGACATCCAGTGACGTCCGAAGACCTCCAGTGACTTTTCAAGACTTTCAGTTACTCACAAAGAATTCTGTCTGTAGGTTAATCGAGGAGGTGGTACATTCATTTTACTTGGTTCTTTGGGATTTTCTCTCCTCGTTTCTATAAAATAAAAGTATTCGTATTATTTCAATATATTTGTAGAGGGACAAATCAGATGATTTGCCCCAAAATGTCACTTCGTTTAACAAATTTTTCTATCAGGGAGTCTAAAAGAAAAATCCAGTAGCTTGTCAGTGACAATTTGTTTGAAAAATTTTTTTAAGGAGAGAAATATAGATATATTGAAAAAATATCGAATTTGTACTTATCTTTGGACGTTTCTTTACCGATTCTGCTCCCATTCTCAACATGTAAATGCAAATTATTTTTCTTTAAAATTTTTGCTTCGTATAGTTTGACACTTTTCAATGTCATACTGATGTTGGCATATGAATGAGTGATTTTAGTCTACAAATGAGTTACAGGATGTTTTCATTAATTGATCTTGAATCTACCATTTTCATGTTCAGTTGATATTGATAGAACATGGTATTCACTACTGAAAACTGAACATGAAAATGGTAGATTCAAGATCAATTAATGAAAACATCCTGTAACTCATTTGTAGACTAAAATCACTCATTCATATGCCAACATCAGTATGACATTGAAAAGTGTCAAACTATACGCAGCAAAAATTTCAAAGAAAAATAATTTGCATTTACATGTTGAGAACGGGAGCAGAATCGGTCCCGAAACGTCCAAAGATAAGTACAAATTCGATATTTTTTCAATATATCTATATTTCTCTCCTTAAAAAATTGTTTCAAACAAATTGTCACTGACAAGCTACTGGATTTTTCTTTTAGACTCCCTGATAGAAAAATTTGTTAAACGCAGTGACATTTTGGGGCAAATCATCTGATTTGTCCCTCTACAAATATATTGAAATAATACGAATACTTTTATTTTATAGAAACGAGGAGAGAAAATCCCAAAGAACCAAGTAAAATGAACACAAAGAATTCCATCGACTACCAATAGCTTCCAGTGACTCCCGATGACTTTCAAAGACTTCCTAATTCTTCAAAAAACTTGTAATGACTTCCAGAGATTTCAAAAGACTCCCAACGATTTCCAGTGACTTCAAATTGTTGTTCTAAAATTGTTCTATCCGTCATTCGGTTGCCCCCTTACGAGCAACCCTCAGAAGTCTTCGAAAGACTTGTGCGAGCAAGGAATGACGGGGGCCTTACCTTTTAACGTGTGATCCCAAACACTTTCTTAGGCCATCAGAAAAAGTCTGCGTTCGTGGGTCTCGAACCCACGATCGATACCACGACGTGAATCGATATTAAAGCATCGAAGCACTGAGGTACTACTGATGACTACCAAAGGTAGCCAATGATTTCGAGTGACTTTCAATAACTTCCAAAGGCTTTCAATGATTTTCAGTAACTTTCAGTGACTTCCAAAGACTTTCAATGACTATCAGAGACTTCCAGTTGCTTCCAATAACTTCTAAAGACTTCCAATGACCTCCAATGTAGACCATTCTTTACCTTTCGGGTCCCCCTTATTACAGACCACGACCGCCACATTCCACCTGTGGAACAGCGTAGCCGGCCACTTCTTCCCCATAATCCTGGCCCTTTTCATGGGCGCATGGTCGGACAGGCGAGGCAGGAAGCTGCCGCTGCTCATCGGCTTAGGAGGCAAGCTGCTCTTCTCCGCCATGATGGTGGTTAACACGCTGATGACGGAATGGCCGGTCGAGTACGTGATTTATACGGCCACCCTGCCTAGCGCCATCTCTGGGGCGGACGTGGCGATATTCGCGGCCGCGTTCACTTATCTGGTGGACGTGACGTCGCAGAAAAACAGGACGATTAGGGTCACTGTTCTGGAGGTATGTTATCTGGCTACGATGCCGATCGGAGTGGCTCTCGGTGAGTTGTTGTTCTTTTAGAAGGAATACTGCTGACCTATCAACAATAAATGGAAGGACAGTATGTGAGGGTGTGGAAAATAGTACATTGTTTAACGAGCACGGAATGATATTCATTCTCCACGAGAATGAAGTTTGCAGCTTGAGCCGTAGGCTCGTAGACAGTTAAACAAGAGCAATTTTGTGTCGTAGAAATTAGTTTTTTCAATTTTGACATGAAATTTGACACTTTAAAAGTGACGGAAGCATCGAAACATCGTACTTTAAGTTACCAGTTTCGTAAGGTTGACTATTACATAATAACTGGCGTTGAAAATCTCAACACCACTCGTCCCGCAAAATCCCATCGTCACACAAAATGACGCATTTCCTAACTGGTTACGTGAATCGTCGCCCTAGAATAATAAGGTTCTATCTGCCTTTTTTGCCAAAATTGAGATTTTGGTATATTACGGTTCTGACTGATGAATTCTTCATGTCGAGAGGTCAACTATCGCAATCTGTTGGAATTCAAATGAGTTAATCATAATGCACAGTTCTATCTACAGAATGTTTCTCTCTTAATTTGGTGTAACAACATCCTAACTACATAATTTGGTTTGTCATGGTCCTATCTACATACAGATAGAACTTTGTTTCTTCAAACCAATACATATACACCCTTGTTATCCCTGTTCATCAACATTAAACATTCACAGTCATAGTGAGAAGTACATGAATTGAAACTGTTTTTTTTTTTTCAACTTTATTTTACATCAAGAACATGAAAGCAGTGAATAAAAGAAGCCATACTACATCTTAGTAGCTGAAAGTTACCGATTTCAAAGATTTCTAAAGTTGTATCAAGAAACTCCAATACAAAAATAATCCTTTCTTCCAAGATGATGCATTGGGAGAAGGTGAAGGCATTCAAAAAATGTATGCTGCATGAACGAGACTGAAAGAAACTATTTCGCTGCATTCCTGAAAGCTAAGTTGAATCAGTCATTTTGTACTTCTCCATTTCGATGATTCGAAATATATTTTTCAAAAAAATCTACGTGCCGCAATTTTTCTCAACATATTACTATTATTACTACCCATACACATATACTTATACTTATATACATTGATTCAGAAGTGAATCTGATGGCACTCAGAACATTTAAAATTAGTTTTCTTGTATTATTTTATGGAACAAAGGTGTATTTTATCAAGTATATTTGTCAGTAAGAACCTTGTTTAATTGCTGCAATAGAAAATCCTTCTGGAACAAAGTTCTATCTACATTTTAGATGTTCGAATTAACATCTATTTGAGAATCAAGGAAGGAGAAAAATCAACTGATAAAAACTCCAACCGATTAAAATATACTTAATCAGAACAAAATATCTTATCGATTGAAATGAAACGAAATAGATGGAGCATGATGGAGTCAAAAGTTCGCAGCACGATTCTGAGCAACTATACTTGGTCCAGATAGTACCTCATTATTTAGGGTGACGAAATATATCTATAACCACCAATAACTGAGTATTGAGATTGGTTGACGTATGTCTATATTCATTGTAGATTTTATCAGAGCCGGCTCCTTTGTAATCTCATTACCGATCGTCCGTCAGCCATTTTTACGTTGTTTTTGTTTGTTTTTTTGTGCATAATGTGTATTTTTGCTATTGTTTTTCTGTTTTGTCATCGATCATAAGAGTCTGTTTGTATGACCGCTGTTTTTATTTCTTGTCTTGGATACTATATTGCAGTAACGACAATGATTATGTTATGTTTTAAATTATCCAAGGTCAGCTCAGTCCGAATAGTACGATTACGATTAGTAAAATTAAGAACTAGCATTGTCTTTCCATTTGTTGTTTATAGGTCAGTGGGGAAAACACGTGACCGATATTTTTCCATAGACGAATTTTTAGACCGATTACAATGATTCTTGCCATGGCGTTAAATTCGAAACAAGATTCCATCCACCTGCATATTCGCGATAGTTAGCAAGGAATTTTTGTCCTTTGCAGATGTCAACTGTCTTTCACTCACTGAATCGTGAAGTCGTCGGTGGTTGGCAAATTTTGACAATTTGAATGAGTCTGTGATATTACTATGGTCCCAACTAGACTTGATTTTTTGTAATTTTCGGACCTTGAAACCATTTAGGAATTTTTTGAAAAATAATAACAAAATTGATAGTTACAGGGTGTTTTGATGGAAAACGGAAATACATCAATAGTAGATTTCTCTGTAGGGTCATAGCTAACGAATCACTAATTTAATTTCTCATATACAGTATACATGCAGGTTCTCCTTCCACTAATCAGTAAAAAATACCTAGGTCCAAATTATCGAGATTTCGTTGTTCTGTCGAAATTTCAAAAATGTTAGAATATACAGGGTGTCATTTCCGGAGAAACCGGAAGTGACAGAAGACAAATTTCATTTTGATTCACCCAATATTCTAGAAGTTATAACTTGTCTAATAGATTTGTTGACTCCCAGTATATTCAGAATCCCCTGTTTTCCGTTGACGTATTTCCGTTTCCCAATGGCACACCCTGTAGAATATTCTGATATTTATCGGAAACCATTTTCAGGTTCTTATCTTTTCAGAAACGTTCTGGAAAAATCATACACGTACATGTTTGTAATCAACACCCTTCTGATGGTGATGGCGTTTTTGTATACCTTGGCCAGGTTGAAATGGAGAAGCAATCCTAGGCAAAGACCGCTCTCAGAAGCTGACAATAAGTTCTTCGATTTCTTCGATTACAATCACGTGACGAACACAATCGACACCCTGTTCAAAAAGCGGCCTTCCAACAGAAGGAGTTATCTGTTGATATTGATAGTTATGATGGCCTTGTATACTTTCCAGAGAGACGAAAGAGAAATGATGTTTATGTATTGTCAGCTCGCCTTCCATTGGACCGTAGGGCAGTTCAGTACTTTCAGGTGAATTCTTGAGATTGATATGATTCCTCGAAAATATCTACAAGAGCAACCTTCCTAAATACCTAACAATGTCAAGAGATGTTGGCTCAAAACATTCAATATGACTCCCTAAACATTCCAAGAATTTCCCAAAACTCCAACGTCCGAAAAATTCTGATTCATGTTCTCTATATCACTTCCAACGAATTCCATTGACTTTCAACGACTCCTAATGATTTTCAACGACTCCCAATGACTGCCAACTATCCACTGTCCTCTAATGGTGACAAGACTATGATTTTTGAAAAAAATCTGCAAGAACAACCTACCTATGACTTTCAATAAGCGCCAAAAACTTCAGAGACTATAGACGAATAATTCAGAATCAAGATCTCTAAAATACTTCCAGAAAATTCCAATTACTCTTTCAATGACTTCCAGTCTTCCAATGTTGTCCAAACAATTCCGACCTTCGAATATTGCTCTCTTGTGAAATCGACTTAATGTCCATGGATTTCAAATATTTCTAGATGGTTTCAGTGACTTTCAATTTATTCCAGAATGATCCCAAGACGTCCACCTACTTCCAAAAACTTTCAAATAGGTTAAAATACTCTATATTCTCCGAAAAAATCTGCAGGAACCACATTCCAATGACACAAAAACTTTCAATGAAGTTCAAAATCTTCCAAGAATTTTCAGAGAATAAATATTTCGGAATAACTCCAGAAAATATTCAATGACAACGACTTTCAATGACATCCAACAAGTTTCAACGATTTCCCATGACTTTTAACGATTTGCAGTATTCTAATGGTATCCAAAGAATTAAGAAAAAATCGACAACTGCAGAGTCTCTCTTAGAACGCTGTTTTTTCAGTTATTCGACCTTTGACCAGACGATAAACTGACTTTATTTCCACGAAAGATTCCCAAATACATCCAAAGACTTTCAGCTTAATCTAGAGTCTTCTAAAGACGTCAAATTATTTCCAAATATTTTCAAATAGTTGAAATTACATCCAAAGTCTTCGTCGATTAGACCTCGTGTTTCAGAAATAAGGTTAAATCTAAATGCAAAACATTTATTTACAACCAATGAAATCAATATAAACACCTGGAAGGGATCCTTTGTGAACGACGAGTGAGGCAAACATATTGTTCAGGCAACCCGCACTGTTTACGGATACCTATCTCTTTCTATGTTATGTTTGCTAATAGGAAGCGCTCGCATTATTTGAAATATTTTCTTGTTTTTTGGTTTTATTTAAGAGTATACGTGATTAAATATGAATATTCATTTAGAAAAAAGGATAATGTTGCAATCAATTATTATTTAAAAATAATTATTGATTTTTTTATTGACTCAAAAGTGAAATTATATTTTTATTCTTACATGATTAGGAAGGCAAATGAATACAAAATTGAAATTATGTATTCTCATTCAAATGTCACATTATATTGTACAGGGTGAGCGAAGCTCCATGTTTCAGCACTATCAGAAGAAATAGAAAAACCATAAAAAAAATTTGAAAAGAGGTTCTTGTATGGTCTATTTTAATCCTAATTTTAAAGAGTAGCTATTTTTCCATAAACTTTTCACTGTTAGTAGGTGAATAATGAAAAGTGAATGAAAGTAGGTAATATTAGGACGAATTTTTCCATTAAAGATGAATATCTGCGTCGCCCAGAATGTACACCTTCATTTTTTCCTTTCTGGAGAAGGAGAAGCTCCAAAGGCAAATCTGAAGACAATATTATGATGTATAGCTCTTGAAAATTTGAACTTGTAGTTTTTACCTTCGAAATATTTTTTTAGTACCTCATCAAGACTGTCATTCTCCTGTTTACTTTTTTTTTCAGTGTTTTCACTTGCAATAGAATAGGCCTTCTCGAATGAAACAGTTTGTGGGTTTCATTATCAATAAACTTTGAAACTAACATGGGAGCTGGAATTTGTAAGCAAATCAATGTCCATATGAAAACATTGTCCTTAAAATACAAGCTATGAACATCCACAGACACATCCTGAAAATAAATTACTATCGTTTTTCTAAGGATCTGAACAATTTTCAACTTACCCATGGAGGACAATTTCTGTTTGTATTGCTTGTTTTGCATCCAAAGGCAACACAATATAAATAATCATTGTTCATCAATTCGAAATCACAAATCTCTTTATTAATAATCAATTCACACCAACAAATTCAGTCCTCTTGAAGAAACAAAATACACCAAATTTAACGAAATTTCATATAACAAAAAACAATGAAGTTTCACTTTTTTGCCTGTTTAGATGAAAAAAAAAAAGATCTCCAATCATTGGATATAAGAAAATGTATACACCAATCCGCCATTGAACAACAGGAGTATGAAGGAGACAGGTTACCGTGACACAAGCTATCTTTTTTGCAGCTGCCCCTGACACACTGTGCTATTCGAGAAACCGGCTGTCTCCCTTCCAGGTGTATACATTGAGTTCATTGCTTACAACACACCAGACTCATAGATGTTTCCGGAAGAAAATGCAATGACCTTTATAGTCTTTTTAAGACGTTCAATGACTTTCAGTCTTGAAACGACTTCCAACGTTAGGAAATGTATTCAACAACTTCTAATGTTTTTCAAAGACTTCCAAAAACCGTCAATTCCAATGACTTCTGGCATCGTTTCAGACTTTCAACCTTGTATCACAAGTTTCGGATTCCCAAAGTTCAAAAATCAATTCGACATTGAGTTTTCATTTCAGGACATTTCAATCGGCCTTGCAAGACATAGTACTATTGGTTGCCATTCCACTGATGAGCAAGCTATTCGGATGGAGGGACACGATAATAATTATGATTGGTGCTGCTGCTCATACCACTGCCAGATTATTTTACATTGTGGCTGATGATAGCTTGATCTTTTATATAGGTAGAGTCTGTTGTGTTTCTGCACAGTCCTTGTTCTATGTATTTGTGGTTTCAGGAGGAGTGTTTGCATCCTTTGGGCCAATTGTTGCTCCAGTAATAAGATCGATGGTATCTAAGATAGTGTTGACTTCAGAGAAAGGTGAGGTGACAAGAAATAGAATATGATGCAGCCAATTTTCAACCAAACGCATACATATTTTGGGTCAGTCGACAGACGATATATACCTCACCTATTAGGTTTCCTCCGATTTTGTAAAACTCGTCAGTACCGGAAATATCAAGTTTTGTTGCTCATCTTGGTATATGATGCCGTATGCATTTTTTTTTTTCGTTTTCAGGGAAAGCTTTCTCTGTCCTTGCCGTAGCAGATAACGCAATTCCTTTAGTATCAGGAATCTGTTATAGCAGTTTGTATTATAGTACCTTAAATAGCTACCATTCTGCCTTATTCTATCTGACAATGGTAACCCAAATTGGGGTATTTTTACTTATTATGTGAGTACTGTAGGCATGCCTAATAATTCTATTTATTTTTTCACATATTGTAAAAAGATATTGATGACTTATTATGTTATATAATTCTTGACTCCATCAGTGGTGTTTATTTATTGTTTGCTTTTTGTAGGTATATCCATTTGAAGACGGATAAAGAGGAATTTGATAGGGACATAAGAGAAATGGATGACATCAGCCCAGATGAAAATGACCGGTTTAATTGAAAAAAAAAAAACAGTTGTGTAATCTCAGAAGGCTTCTATTTAGTTTTTTAGTAGCAGGATAAAAAGACGAATAGAAAAAACATGTTCAATTAAGTTTAAATACAGAAAGAGGAAGAGAAAATATTTTTTGGGTAGTTACCCAAAAGGCTATCGACCGAAGTCTTTCAGCCTAGTCTAAACACATGTTTCCTATATTTTTTATGTTATGACTATACAGAGAAGTGCACATAAAACGGCCAGGACTGTAACTTTTGAATTATTCGAGATAAGATTTTGAAAATTGGTGGGTAGCAAGTATACCAAATTGCTCATTAACTGATGGAACAATTTTTCTTCTATCACTTTCAGTTTCATCGGAAACGACCCCAACTTTTGATCTTTAAATGGGACCCTGTATTGTATTCCATAATCGGTTAGGGATTATCGTGACAAATTCAACAATACCGGGTTTGATAGGGTGATTTCAAACAATTACAAAGATATTCGCGTGCGAAGTTTCCATATGCTCAATATGGGTGTGACTTCGCAATATCAAAACGTCTTTCTCTGTCATACTCATTGAGCATATGGAAACTTAGAACGCGAATATCTGCGTAATCGTTTGAAATAACCCTATCAAACCCGGTATCGATAAATTCGTTATGACAATCCCTAACCGATTATGGAATCCAATACATTTACAATCAAAAGTTGGGGTCGTTTCCAGTAAAACCGGAAGTGATAGAACACAAATTGTTTCGTCAATTAATGAGCAATTTGGTATACTAGGTGCCCACCAATTTTAAAAACCCTATCTCAAATAATTCAAAAGTTACAGAGCCCTGGCCGTTTTTTGTGCATTTCTCTGTATATAGTCTCTCTTTATCTGTGGTATTCACGTTTTTCCAATTGGTTTTGTTTATCGATTTTGAGTAGGGATATTTTTTTATTGTGTTATATATAGATGATCCTCATTTCTTTACGACAGAGATGGTCAGAATAAGAAAATGTACTCAAGAATATACAAACGGCTCAAATAATTCATTTTTATAAAATGAATACCTATGAAAAATATATCAAATATGCTTGGCAAGAGAGAAGGAAAGTCATCTCCTTTTCCATCCTTCTTTTCAGAGCTATCAATGTAACCATGTTTAAAATTGAGAGGTCCTAGGAGTATTAACGTTTCTACCGTCTTCGATATATTATTATGTTATATTAGGTTGAGATTTCAGTGACTATTTTTATCTCAATTGAATGCATTTCTAGCTCTCTATTTATACTCCTATATGGTAGGTAGGTACCAATATGCTCTATCCTTTCAATTATATATTCTATTATGTATAAAATGAAAAATAGTTCAGTGGCACATACTAGATAGTGAATCACCAAAGAATAATTATCGGAACTCTTTTTATTTCGACTCGGCTACGTTGGTAGCGTGGAAGCACTGAAGATAAAAGAAAGAGGAGAGAACGATAACTTTCCTCTAGTCCTAGTGGCCTATGGTATTATGATTCATCTGTTAGTACCTACTCATTTGAAAAGGTTAATTTCTATAATCAGCTCTTTTGTATTTGTAGAATATTCATAGATAATTTGAATAGTACTGGACTTGAGATTTTATATAGGTTTGTTTGGAATAAAATTGTCTACTTTTTTTACAAGCTTTTATTTAACACCTGTCCGCCCCGGCACAATCCGGTGAGATCAATCCGGCTTAGATTAAACAAACGATCGACAAACCAATCAAATCAAGTTAATGGGCGTGTACACCTTAGTAGAACTTTTAACTCAAACCATGTCTATAATGATCCTTTTATACATAAATAATGATTGACGACATAATTCGATAGAAAAATTAACTGGGATATTTTATTTTTGAACATAAATAATAGTACCTTCTGAAAACGGACCCTCCTATGACGTAGAAACCTCATCTCGCCATAGTTAAAAGAAAATACCAAACGCCCGACGGAGACTGAGGCAACTGATGTATTAATTCTTTCAACTGTGATCTCGCGCTAATTCACTTTGTCAGAAATCATGTATCTTTCATCTCTGTCTGGAATAGTCTTGTTTCAGTATTAGGGTTCTGACGTCACATCATCGCCTCGTTTTCAGAGGTCCGAAAAATCGGGGATTTCAATAATTTTTTATAAAACGTAGGGAGCTCACAGCAAGAAACGGTTTGCGGTGGTGAGGTAGTTTGGGTGAGTTCTATCGAATTATGAAAGAAAATTTTTTTGTGATATAAGCCCATTACCCAGACAGCACTGGATATTCATAGAATATTCTCTAAATATGCTAAAAAGGAGGAGTATATTCCGAATATTCATCGATTATTCCTAGAATATATACATGCCTCTGGAACATCTAAAAGGAATATTCCAAAGTGAATAGTCGGACATGTTCAGGGAATATTCAGGTATGAATCTTCCAGGAATATTCCCAACTGAATATTCTCTGTTGTATATTCATGAAATATACCCAACTGAATATACTGTGCGGTATATTCATGAAATATACCCAACTGAATATTCTGTGCGGTATATTCATGAAATAATCTCAACTGAATATTCTGTGGTGTATATTCATGAAATATTCCATGAATATTCCTATGTTTCTCAACACATAAATAACATTTATTATTTCAGAGATGTGAGTATCGAACATCAATTAGATGTAAGGGGATTTTGGAACAAAAAGTGTTTATGATCCGATTTCGAACAATGCTCTCATAAGAACTTGATATGTATAACATTATTCAATTCGATTACTGGCCTAGTGGTCAAGGCGTTGCTCTGATAGTCTTGAGGTCACGAGTTCGATCCCTACTTGGGTCACTTTTTTTTAAATTTTAGAATATGTTTATTGGAATATTCCAGGAACATTCAACATAGAATATTCTTTTGGGTATATTCTATGATTATCTGAGGAATTCCCTTTCGCATATTTAGAGAATATTCCACAGATATTCCGGAATATTCCAGATTATTTCTAGAATATTCCAATATTCCAAAAGGAATATGATAGGGAGATTCATGGAATATCTGGTGCTGTCTGGGTATAGGATTGATTTGAAATTTGGCAGGTGTACATAATTCTGGTGACTATTTCACTCATCACATAATCTGACCAATCACAAGCCAGAGACTCGTGGTGTTGCTCGGCAACACAATTTCTTGAACAATATGAAGCAACAGAATTACATCAATTATTCAGAACATTGTGATATTACTTGACAATGGCGGATGAGTAAGATGAGTTTCGTAATATTTTTTGGCGTCGGAGATCATCGATTCTTTCGTCAAAATTGGCAAATTCAAGATGGCGGATCCAATATGTATCTGGGGGTTTTCTGGGTCGGAGAGTGGAGACTATGATTCTTTCATCAAAATTGAGAAATTCAAGATGGCGTATGAGTTTTGTGATTATGGTCCGATTATTTTCAAAGACTGCATGGTATGTAGGATATTTATACAATTACGAGCTTTTAGATTTAGACAAATGCACTTGAAAGGAAATAATAAATATTATACAGTGTGACCCATTTTTATTGGAAACACCCCTGTATCTTCCGTAATTGTTGGGTAAGGATCCTGAAATTTGCTGAGAGATATACAAACAACGCACTCTATGACCAAGTGGGGTCATCTTCAGTGATATACACTGCTCGCCAACAGCCATGGAACCACCCCAATTTCCGGAAAATGATAATAGGATTCAAAATAGGTTGAAAATCACTTCGGATTCGGAATCAGGAGTGCCCAATAGGCCTTTTCTTAAGATGATAAATGACTATCTGTGTTTACATCTCGCATCCAACGACAGTGGCGGCCATTTTCACCGAAACACTTGCACCACACTCCTTATTAGTATGAATAAGTACTTAACGGTTTTTCGATTTGAATTGATATAATACAATTAATACTCACCAGGAATATAGAAACGGAAATACTATACTGTTATTGTTGTTTGTCAATGACGAATGCCCATGGTGGTTGACACTGTTGACATTTGACAGAACTTCAATAATAACCGCCATAGTCGAAATGGCCAATCAGAATTTCGTGTCGGAACTATAGCTAATGAGACTTCACCTTCGCATTACCCAATCAAATTTTGGATCTAAAAACGAGCGCATGCGTCTTAAAAATATATCTATATGAAAAAGCTAATTCACTATAACTATTCATATTTTTCCTAAAAAATTGCGAACTTAGTGGTTGTTTAGTAATTTACATAACTGTGAAGTGGAATGGAAGATAAAAAGGCTTGCAGTTCTTTCTCAGTGATGGTGGTATTGGCTTATTTTTCGGAACTAGCACAACAAAAGCCATCAACAGTATATATATATATGTATATAAGGATATCCGGGAAAAAAGTAATTTATGAAAAGTGACATTTCATAACCTGTCAACAGGGTTGAAATATCAAACTTTTTTCCGGTCACAGTAAAAAATAATTCATTTCATGTTTCATGTACTTATTTTGATCTAGGTTACTCTGAGAGTACCTATATCAGATTCAATATCTTACTGTGCAAGATTTCCTATAGGTATTTTGTATACACGGCAGGCTTTTGAATCTGTTACTCACAAAATCACCTAGATCAAAATATGAAAGAAGTTATTTTTCCATTTTAGTGCATTTTTATAGAAGCTTGTAGGTATTTAAAAATGTTTTTTCTATATAATTTCTATTAGGTTTAAGTTCATTAATTTTGGTGTACCATATGATCCTATTATCCTGTTCCACCCAGTATACCTAACTGGAGTGCAAATAAGAAAATGTTTCATTTCATCTTCTTGAATGTTTATGAATGAACACAATGCTTCAATATTTATATAGGTACCTGATTTAATTATTGTTAACAATTTACCTAAGCAAAATATCAAGGAACATTTTTTGAAATCAATTGAAAGTATTGGATGATGAAATTATGAAAAAAAAATATCACCCATAAATTTATTAAATTTATATTGTATCACAGTAAGATGGAAATGCTATAAGAACTAAGAATCATTCAATAATCATAATTAAATCATTGGAAGATGATGAAACTACTCCCTACTAGTTTTTCCTCACAGCTATGCTTTTATTATAGACCTTGTCAGTCTTGTGTTTTCCACTTTTTGCAAGAAAGCATCAACTATTGGGCTCCTTTCAGAGTTACTTTTTTGGTGACTCAACTGTTTGGAACTGAAAACAGACCTCTGATATTTGAAAACACAACCCAATAAATGCCATATACAAAACTCTGGCCACAACACATCTGTGAAGTAGATCTCTGTACCAGATAACTGCCACAACAAGAAGTCACTCAGTCTTACTTCACCTGAAGTTCTGATTAATATGTCAGGATTTGGGCTTTTGTGCATATACAGACAACTAGATAACAGTTCTTCATCTATGTCATCTATGCTGATATCATCATTTGTGACTCCTTCTATTACTGTTTTGATACTGTGTATGATTTCATCTCTGGAAGTATAGGAGAAAGCTACATTCAGTATAGACCTGTTATTATCTTTGGTAAGCAACATTGCTTTGGTAATCAATTCTTGTAGGTCTTCTGGTAAGAGTGACAAGTTTCCAATTACTCTTATACACACACCTTCCTTCATCAACCTATCTTTCTCTTCCAATAGTTTCTGAAATTTTTCTCTAGCCAAGCCCATCAAAGTTTCAACCTGAAAGATATAATACCTTATATATGAAGGCAGTTTTTTTTTCAACATTAAATTACCTCTTCTTTACTTCGTTTGAAATTTTCAATACTGAAGGCATAGACGGTCACTTCTCTGATTCCCAACTCTCTGCACCATTCTAAACACTCTGCTAATTTTTCAAACCCTTTCAAGTGTCCTTCGGCCTTTTGAACATTCGTTTTCGTGGCATACCTTCGATTACCGTCCATAATGAATGCAATATGCTTTGGGATAGGTCCACATTTGATCACGTTGATACAAAATTTTTGGAAGGTTGTAATCGATTCTTCGGCAAACCAAGACATCATACAGCATCAAATCGATGCTCTACAGTTCAGATTTATATTAAAATATTAGATCATTGAATTGATATATTATTATTTTATTGGTACAGGTGGAACATCAGTAACATCACATAACAGCTACAACTACACCTATAGAAAAATTAAAAAATTCAGAAAACACGTAGACTTTTCTTTGGATAAAAAAAATTGAAAAACGGGAAATAGAAATAATCTTCTTCTTCTTTTTATTATTATTATTTTTTGGGCTCTTGCTCTTGCCCAGTAAGGACATAGGACATACAGCCATGTGGTGTTTCGAAATTCTTCATTCTTCTTGTTAATGACCTCATTTTTTTCCTTCTCATTTCCTCGATTACTCGCTGCTTCGTATTCCTTGCTGCTTTATGATTGTTTTGCTAGATTGGTGTCCTCTGGGCTCTGATGTCACCTACGTGAAGTGGGCTGCCAGAGCTGGCTGCCAGAATTTCCGAACTTTCCGTGATTTCCGTGAATCGTCGAAGCGTTGATAGTTGATTTGATATATGACAATTGACAACTGACGTCGAATGGCCGATCAGTGAATGAATGCGGTGTGTTGTTAATTTTGGTGAATTTGTAATATTTCATTTAAATACATTATTTCACAATCATGGTTATTATATTGATCAGTATAATTCGTTAATTATATTACAGTACAGGTCCACTTCTAATAATCTCTTGGGGTAATGGTATTTAACTAAATTCGAGCCATTCCTGTTTAATGGCACTGATTGCCTGTGTTGAGCTGGGTATTCCTCTGGCAGGACTCTTTCAAATTCTATCTTGATAACTCCATTGCATTCAATAATGGTTAATTCCAGTTGTTCAGTGATTTGAGAATGGACAGTTGGAACTCAGATTGGTTAACTGAGGAACCTGACTCAGAAACTTCTTCAATAATATCAAAAGATCCCCTGCTTGCAGAAGGTGGTATTGTAGATGTGGATAGTCCAATTTTCTCCCGAGATTCAAATGATAGTTTCGGTGATGAAAAGCTACAAAAATATGGGAAACTTGACAATGCTTTACTGAAAACCAGTCTGAAGAATGTCTCTCTAGCTAAAAAGAGGTTACAGGCTTATAACACTAACTATGTCAACAAGACTCCAACAAAAGAAGATAAAAATGACATTCAAGAAAAATCTGGCACAACTGTAAAAAAGGCCAACAAAGGTACAGTCTCAGGAAATTATAAATCTAAAATTTGAAATTTCCTATAAATTGTAAGTTCTTTAGAAAAATGGAAAAATGAATGTAATCGATCCTAAATTTTTTGAGTCATATAAAAATATTTTGTATCAAATCTATAGAATATCTGCAAGTCATAGCTGCAAGTGGACTTCCTTTTTGAGAAAATGTTTGATATTGTTTGATGAGAATAATGTTATTTTACTATAGGTACATACAGATTTCAGATTATTTCACTTTCTGATGATTTATTTCAGTTTTGTACCCAGATGATAGGGCCAGAGCTGTTATTCAGGAAATTGAAGATATAAAGAAATTAGAAGATGAAGAAATTAGAAAACAAAATGAAAAAATAGCAGATTTTGTGAATTACCTCAATACTTCTGGTAGTATGAGCAATAGTGTCAAGTCTAGATCAAGATCTCTATCTCCAGGTGAGTTGATATAATAGTGCTCCTGCAGTTGTAGCTTTTGAAAATTCCATGGAAGTTGATAAGCTGTCTTAGAATTTCAGGACATTTTCTCCTAGATTGTATCAGGCAGTGTAACTTGAAAATTTTGAATAGTACCCTGGTTATGGTATGCACCTATGCACACCTGGAAGTACACTCTTATAAACAGAAATGATGAAAAATCATGAGAATATTAAAAAGTGGAGAATTCATTTAATATTGAACTATTAATTTATTTCATCAAACATGTGATTAGGACAAGCAAGCAGATTTTCTATCAGAAAGTGCTCAATAATTGAAAGAATTGTAGTTTTGGTTTTAATCTAGGATTTAATTCAGCCCACTATGAATAAATCAACAATTTCTTTCCAATTTGCCCAAGCAGATACTGTTTGATGACTAGAAAATAAATGTTATTGAATGAAGCCATGATATAATCAAAACAATAATCATTTCTCAAATTTGATGAAAAAATAAATATAAAACATAAATTAGGCTCCTTCCCTGCTATTCACCTATATTTGACCAATCATCAAAAATGAAAAAATAATCCCACTTTGCTGGTAAATGATAGTTTTTTATTGGTTTTGTCCATCTTATGGGGGACTTGGATTAGATAAAGAAATGGCCAAAATGTCAACCCTGCTTGTAAGTATGATTTCTCTTACTTCACTTGTTTTTTCTATAGGAATGATTGACCTATTGATATAAACTTTTATGAGAATCACCATGGTACTTTTTTCGTTTCAAAAGTATGAACATATTTGTATGTGCTAGTTATATGCTAATATGCTGACAACACTTTTATGAAATTATGTTCTAGGACTTTTTTTGCTTCTTCTCATTTGAAGAAGTACCTATTTTAAATGGATACAATTTATCCCAATAGGTACCTATCATCAATTTTTCACCCAAACAGAAATTATAGTAGATAATGATATCACTCTTGATTATTTCTGTGGTAGTGATGGTATTCTGAGGCCCTATTTTTATCATGGATATGTGGACACATTTTCTGAAATACACTAATACATGTGAGAATTCCTCCCCTTTGTGTCAAACAAAAGCCACTTACCAAACTTCTCATCTATTCCTGTAGATGACAAAGATATTGAAGGAGTCACAGAAATTGAATATTTGGTTATTCATATGGATAGTTTCCTGATATGGGATATGCATATAGAAAAAACTATGAAGAAAATAAGAATATTGATGTTTAAGTTCAAGGTTTTAGGAAGATTCATGGAATTCAGACATCTAAAAATGGTTTATTTTTCACTGATAGAATCGATTCTTAGCTATGGCATATTACTCATATTAGCTTGGGGAGGTGTCAAAAAAACTCATCTGAACATACTCAATATGACACAAAGAAGAATCCTCAAAGCCATTATGAGAAAAGACATGAAGTATCCTACTGAATCATTATATAATGAAGCTCAAATTCTCAATATAAGGCAACTCTTCTGCAAAAGAATTCTCATTTATTTTTTCAATAACAAAATCTCTTTAGAAGCGCTGAATCATCCATATGGAACATCACAAAAATCTAGGAAATTATGAGAATTAGACAAAGCTAATAAAACCTCTGGCCAAAGATATTATAAATATATTGGACAGAGGCTCTTCAACAATTTGCCTAAGCTGTTGAAGGAACCTATGAATTTCTTCACATTTAAAAAAAAGATATTTATATGAATAATGGAAAACAGAAATTATATCAGCTCATTACTAGACTAGACTGAGTTTGTTGTGATGAACCTTTGTGTGCATATTGATATTGTGTTGTCCCCTTTTTATAAATCAATATTTTTGTAATTACCTTCTAAGTTCTACTACTAAATGCTGTGTGTATAGTATTCAAGTAGTTATATTTTTTCATAATAACATTTAGTTTGATTACATCCAGGTGAAGAACATGATTATAAAGATATATCTATCCCAGATAGTATATGACTATGTAGACAAGCTCAATAGCTTAAACGGAATCACGGTCATATTTATTTATAATCATAAATTATGTAATTTTTAACAATGTTGAAATTCTATTTTATGTATCATGTATTATGAATAAAAATTATTATTATTATTATTATTGGTAATTTGGCCAGGGAGAGCAATATTAAGACTTAAACGGAAAGCACGCTGCCAAGATGTTTGATATAAAAAATTGAAAATTGTGTTTTTCTGTTGGTACAGATAGAAAAAATCCTGAATAAATTCTAGGCATGAAGCAGAAGCCAACCTTTCCAGTAACATGTCATTTGGATTCATGGCGACAGTATATCCATGGCCTTATATCAATGTTATTATATCCGCATATATTCTGTTTTTTATCACTTCTCACCTTTTGTAGACATTGCAGTCTACAGGAACGAGTATACCCGAAAAAAACCAGCACCGGAAACAAGCGTCTAACTGCACCATTTCCATCAGTGGCTCTCTGAATTCTCCCGCGTAAATGACTTGGGCGATTGGACTATTTTTTTTATTTCTTAAACTTAAATAGAATCTTCACTCAAATACCTTTCGATTTAATATTTTTTTAGAATTTTTCGGTCGATTTTTAGGTGCTAAAATCATCAATAATGCCACGGTAATTTTCAAACTGATAGAAAATTACCGTGAGTAAAAACCAATGTCATGATTTCGTGAGTAGGGGCAGACCATAGTACAGTTGCCATGTTTTGAAATACAATTGGGAACTTCAGAAATATTAGTTATTCAAACATTAATAAATTCTCAATTATGTATTGGTAATATTCCTATTTATCAATACAAAATCAATTGTCCCAAATTGTTCCCTTATGACCCGAAATATCTAATACACATAATAGACAGTTTACTAAGTGAGAGAAATTTGAGAGTGGAAGTTCACGACAAATTATCACACGAATTCACACCACAACAAGGATCAACAGGGATCACCACTATCACCCCTACTCTATAATATATACTGTTCAGATATATACCACATGGACCCACAATATTTCAATTTCAATAACTACATACTACAATATGGAGACGACACTGCCCTGGTCGCACACGGCAGAAACTTAAATGCAGCCATTGAAAAACTCCAACAATTAGCCAACAAAACAACGGAATGGTTCAATAAATGGCGACTGAAACCAAATCCAAGGAAGTCACATTTAGTAATATTTTTCCATTTGGCATCTCCCACAGTTACTTTGCAGGACCATGAACTAAGATCTGAAAATACCACAAGATATCTAGGAATTGATATGGATCTCAAAATCAACTTCAATGTACCTACTGGAAATGTGAAAAGGAAAACCATATCAAGAGCAAAACATTTTCAATCAATGTCAAAAAAAGAACATGGCATCAATTTATACACAAAAACTGAAATTTACAAAATGATTTGCAGACCACTGCTTGAATATGGACATATAATATTCCAGAACTTGAGAAATCCTGCCTTGAAAAATCTCGAAGTAGCTGAAACAACTGCTCTACGTATCATTACCAGAATAAGACATCCTAACAATCCCATCCACAATCCACCCAATGAACTACTGTATGAAACAACGAGAGTACAGCCTATTGAGGAAAGACTAGTCCACTTATCCTCCAAATTCAGTGAGAAAGCCGAAAACAAGAATTTCATCTCTCCATTCTGTATCAGAAGGAACCATAGAAAAACACAATACAAACACCCGGAGGCGATTTTACTAAATATACTGCACGCTAGCACAAACCACGCCCACCATAATACGTCATATCTCCAAACATTACCGATATACTCGGAGTCAGCACATCGCACTAAATATACTGTGCTCCAACGCAAGAATACACTTTTTATGATTTTGACACGAATTCGACTGAAGCTCTCTTGTTGTCAATCTCTTGTACGCAGTAAATTCATATACCCAAATGGTCTACTGGTTAGCGCTGTCGACTTTCAGTCTGAAGGTCCATGGTTCGAATCGCTGTGAACTTGAACTTTTTTTGCAATTTTTTTTTTCACCAATGTTTTTTTACTTCATTCTGGTTTTCCTTTTTCATAAAATATTTGAAGTCAAATAGGTTAGTGCGTTTAGGATAAACAGTCTCATTTTATTCAATTTTGTTGAAGAACTCAACTTTTGAAATATATTATTAATCAATGTGTTTCTACACTCCATTCGGTTTTCCTTCCTCGAAAATATTGCAATCAGGGATAGGTTAGTTCGTTAAGGATAAATAGTCTGAGTTTTGCCCAAGTACTTCGAAGATGAGATATTACGGTGGGCGTGGTTTGTGCTAGCGTACAGTATATTTAGTAAAATCGCCACCCGGAGCACACTTTATGGGAGAGACTATAGTGCGATGATTCTCCTAGTAGACATTTCCACCACGATAGAGACCAGTTATATTACTTTTTTCTTCCAGAGAAACTATGTCATTTTCTAAAAAATAATCTTTATATGGATATATAAAACTTGTACTGTGGCTGAAGGACCTCGGTCGATGGCCTTTTGAGTATTTATACTCAATAAAGTTGTTGTTGTTCCCTTATGATTTGTGACTAATTGCTTAATTTTATGATACATTTGTGTAAATAGTATTTATATTAATTTACACTAAGGGAAATTTGAAGCGGTGAACGTGACAACACCGCGCGCACGATTTGTGGGCGTGGTCTTGGTCCTTCTCAGCAATCAGCACGATGTTGCGAAGTCTCTTACATCTTTTCGATAACTTGATTATAATTGGTGACTTGGCAACCTTGCTTCGTGAGTGGAAATGGAAGATTATCTGACCAATAACGAAACAGCATGAAAGCTGACGTCACCATTTATTCGACGTATCCCCAAATAGTGGCCATGAAGGTACGTCTGAAATGAGCTCCGAAATTCAACAATTTCGAACAACGCATACACTCATTATTTCCATAAAAAAGTGCGAGAAGTATTGCAAAAATTAATTTAGGTCCCTAACGACTGTTGTAATTGAATGCCAATAATTCATTATAAGTCCACTCGTCCATTGACAAATTTCAAGGTCATCATTTTACGTTACGGTGACGTTTAGCAATGAGAAACACATTTCTAACCCCTGGCATTGATTGAATGTCAGTCATGTTTTCCCCATTCGCGGGAATCAATGTTACCAGGTGGCGCTCGGTTTTTATCGTTCCATGTCAAAGCCACGTCAAAACTGGGGGAAAACAAACTCAATCCTCACTCAATCCCATTAGTGCCATTAGCTGGTGTACTGTGTACTGATAAGAGTGATAAGTTTTTGAATTTCTTGACATTAATTGTCAATATTCGATCGAAAACGATAATAATGCCTGGTTGTAGATTTTCTTTTGGCAGATATTTTGCTATATTTAGATGGAAAAAGCCGACCAGTAGTGGAAGGAGGAGCAGTTCTCCGTGCTATTATCATGTGATTTTGTGTGAGACAGAAGACTTCAACAAAAGGCACATTTTTGCACTTTGTCTACAAACTTCGGCGATGAAATCTTCCCCACATGAAGTAAATTCGAAGTTGAGGTCCAGGGGAACTCCTGTAGAACAATGGATTTGTATTTGTTCATGCAAAGCAGGACAATCTGGGTATTGTAAACATGCTGTAGCTGTTCTTTTATATGTCAATTGATTTGCTGGTCATAATTAGTTTGAATTGTTTAAACCATCTCCAATTCTTGACCCGTTCACTGTTCACTAAACTAATAAAAATGTAATAATGTAAAAAAATTAACCAACTCAACCATCATCACTACCAACAGTGCCAACACTTTATGTCATTGACAAGTTTGACTACAGCTACAGCAAGCTGAATGCAATGTAGTCTATGCACTTTATCCATAGACAACAGTTTGTTTTCCCCCAGTTTGAAGTTCGTATTATGTAACCTAGATGTTGCCCACTTCGTGAATCTCGCGAATTGCAAAATGTCATCGTAACGTCATCTGAAATCCACCAATAGGCGATATCTGCGAGAGGCAATTAGTTCTTCAAAGAAATAATTAGTGAGGAAATGGTACAGGGAGCTGTGGGTCTGATTGCCACTTCGCGGCTCGTGTTCAATCTGTGCGAACGTCGACTTTTTTTTTGGTCACAAGTAATATTTTGAAAAATATACTTTCTAGGAAGAAAGTCCATTTAGGCCGAGTTAGGTTAGGTTGTTTAGATAATGTTGTCTCTCTTGTTCGTTCAAGTTTTTCCGAAAAGTATATTTTCTAGGGAAAAGGTTCATTTAGGCACAATTAGTTAAGATTGTTAATAAAAACCAGCCTCTGATTCGCTCAAGTAATTTTCCGAAACATATATTTTCTAGGAAGAAGGTTAATTTAGGCCTAGTTAGGTAAAATATTGCTCAGATGGCTATAGAGTATAGACCGTCCTCCTGCCCATTGTAGGTTTTGAATTGGTGCATATACAGTGAGCAAGAAAAGGTTGGAACACATTCGTTAAAAGCTTTTTCTGCTAGTGTGTTGAGAGTCACTTTTTCGCGGAAAAACTTTTCTGCACTAGTGAGGAAAAGTTAATTCGTTTCGTTTTTGAAGAGAATACTGACATTTGAATAAATAATAATAATGAATGTTTCTTTGTGTCAATTTTTGCTTTTTTTCGCACGCTACAGCATTTTTAGATGTACCGATTTTGCAAACCCTAACTGATTTCAACACCCTGTCACCCCCGCTACGAGTCGGGAGACAACACAACCTGGAGCTAAAATCTACTACTTTTTCTCTTGTATAATAAATAAATATTATGCGAAAATCACAGCCCGTGTTCAAAATTAATTTGACATCGGCTTTTTGTTACAAAAAACATGAACGGGTGCATCTTCAATTTCATAAGGAAGATTAAGTAACTTGCAACAAGTCACAAAATGTTGATGTTTTTGTTGTTATCAATAAAATAAACACCAAGTATACGCTATCGTTGTATTCCAAATTGAATGTCACGTAATTTCCAATGACAATATATTGCCATTTGAAAATAAAAAGTGAGGGGTAGCTGCCAGAGAACTGTCAGATGTAATATATATTATATGTCATTAGGAAGGTTATTCAATGCAATTGGGAGACTTCGATCCAAGTTGACAACTTGAAAACCTCTACCAATGTAGAAGCAACATCATGGAAGTTCGATTACTCAAATGGCTTTATTTCGATGATATCTGATTGTAGGAGTCTACTAAGCTCTCTAATAGGAGTTATTCAGAAGAAAAACTAATTTTTGTGATCTCGATTTCTGATTAGTTGAAAATTATGTTGATGCGCCTGCTTTCATTCTGAAATATGTAATACCGTCGTCAATTTTGTTAACTTGTCACATTTCTGTTACTCACCTTGGATGAAAACTGGTAAAAATTTCCAATAATAGACAACAATATCAAAATAACCTACGTTTATTGAAATAATCAGACACAGATATCTTGAGGGTAGCTGAAATCACAAGAATATTCGAACATAACAATATATATTATAGCATGAAATAGTATGGATAGTGAACAAATATGAATTAACAAGAATGAAATATAGCCCTGATAACAATATTATGTTGATTACCATTACGACGAGTCGAGAGTAGCCCCAGACCAGATAACTTTAGAACCCTCACATCCGGTCTATTATAGGTTTGCACGTTTCTCATCAGAGTTTCTTGATCATAATTCGAAGTTGATTCAAATTTACCAATTTTAGTGATTCATTGATATACCATTTTTCACTCGTGACAATACTGACACTGACACTACTGACAGTATTGACGTACCGCAATTGCACAAACATGATTTTCAACCAGTCTGATGTGATGTTCACAAAAACAAATTTTCCTTCTGAACAACATTCATTAGAAAGCTGAGTAGAATCCTATAATCAGATTTCTCCAAAATAAATCTTTTTGAGTAATCAAACTTCCATAATGTGGCTTCTACATTGGTATAGGCTTTTAGGTTGGCAACTTTTAGCGAGGTCCCCTATTCAATGCGGTTTTTGAAATTTTTCAATCATCTTGTCAAATAAACGAGATATTGCCTGTATACGATGACTTGGGACACCCGGTATATCGAATTTTATTTCATTTCAGAAGTGGTGAATCATTTCAAAAAACGAGAAATTAAAAGCCGAAATTATCGACGAACGGATTCTGTCACTCGAAGATCCCCCTCCCCATCAGATCAACAAAAGAAAAGCGATCGACGATCGTCAAGTGACCACAAAAAATCCTCGATCTACCCAAAAAATTGGACCGATTACAAAGAACAGCGACTGACGATTCCCAAAGATGAGGAATTGAAGGCTAAATGTTTTCCCAGAGCTAATCATTCGAATATTGAAATCATCAACAGACTTTATAGCTTCACAGCTCCTTCCACGTTACTTGAATCTTTTAAATATTCAACTGAACAGCAAACAAAATCAGTGCCTATTCCTTTCTTACGGTAGGTCTAATGATTGAAATTCAGCTCCACATTTGAAGTGAGACAACCGAACATTATGTTTTATCTCAGTTCATTTACTTCAGTTTCATTTTATATTTTTTCATCCGTTATGAAACGCAGCAGCATTGTCTGCTAAAGAAAAAATTTAGTGAGCTTCAGCTCACTAGATTTTTTCTCCACATTCAGCAGACAATAGCTTGCAGCATCTCAGATTAAATAAAAAATCTGTTGCCCTTATCCTAAAAAATAATCGAATTTTTTCTGACTTTAATAATTGTGTCAGTTTACTAAAAACAACTTTATGTCAACGTTTCAGGATAGAATTATTCATCAAAGAGTGTTCAATATTGTTTGTCTCGTAACTTGAATCCGGTAGAAGGTTTCTCAACGGGATCATATGTTTCTAGGCGTCTGGAAGCGGATGCAAAAAACCTGAAAATTATCTGGTTTTCTTCACACTATACTACAACTTGTTTGATTTTTTTCCAGCTAACTTTGAGAATTACAGGTGTTGCGATAGTCTACAGAATCTGACATGGATGTATTTTCTGTAAGCATATAGACGTAGGGGTCTATATGCACGACTTAGTCGCAAGGTATGATTGATGAATCTACCTATACACCTTGCACTTAAGCCACTAGATGGCTATGAAGGCTAGATCGTCCTTCTGCCCCCTCAGGGCCTCGACTTGTTTGATATATGGAGGTGAATCGATTGTCAGCTGGCCAGTGCAACTGATGATACTTATGGCAAGTCGAAACCGTCTGTCTTGCATCAGCTGACAATCGATTCACGAAATTTTCCCAGAATCTCTTAATCTTGAGATTCTAGGTTTATCACCTTTAAATTTGTTGAAAAATGCGGTTAGACGGATAATAGAGAAATGATAAATATCTGCGTATACATTGACCCAAATACTAAATCTCGGTGCCCACTCAACTAAAGATTTGATGCTTCTCAACTTTTATCCTACAAGTTATTCACATAGCGAAGCTGTTCTCAAATCATAGTCATCTAAAAGTAAGTATATTGCAGTGTTCACAAAAGTTGGTATAAACTGTTCATTTTCGAATGACGATAGCGATCTTATAAATTTTGGAATAAGGATAATAGAGACATCATTCAATGCAGAATTTTATGCTCTTCAACTCTGAATACTGTGATTTTCGTACGGTGAGTCGTTTGAAAGATATGAACCTGAAAAACTCCAAAAATTGTCATGTTTTCTGCGTTTCTCGACCTGGTTCCCTCGAAACATATGAAGCCGTTGAGAAACCTTCTACCGTATTCGTGTTTTCAAAAAAATGTCATTTGATCGGACTATATAGTGCTAATAGGTTGCGTGCACGATGACCGACCCTGGAGGCAAAATATTGAAACACAACCTCACTCTTCTGTGAATTATTGAAACACAACCTCACTTTTTCATTTGTTTACAGAGGAATCAAAGGGTTGAAATAGTTTTTCACAATATTTTGGCATACGAATCGTCTTTCTTGCGTTATTCATTAATTCAAGCATGCCTTCGCATTGTGCTGTTGTACAATGCACAAAAAATGCAGCAAGAGACTAGGGAATATGATTTTTCAGGTAAATAGTAATCTCACATAGTTATCATTATGAAATGTTGTCATTCCTTATTAAAATTCCTTCTGCCTCCTGCCACTTCTGCAGTACAAGCTAATACTGCTAATAGATTGAAAATGTCTACAACACACACGATCGTCAGCATGTCAGACCAGTCCTCCCGATTGATTGCATGAATCCAATCTTCTCGCATTATTTCAGGTATATTTCTATTAGCTCTTATTGCAGAAGGAATTCCGATGAGGAATCAGAGAAATAACAAAATTTAAAAAATGAAAACTATATGTGAGTGACTATAGTAGGTACTTACTTTTAAATCATAATGTACCATCCGGATTCCTTCATCTTCTGCTGCAGTTTTTGTGCATTTTACAACAGCACAATGTGATGGCATGAGCGAATTGATGAATAGCGGAAAAATACGATTCATTTGCCAAAATAGTTATGGAAAACTATTTGGATCACTTGTAAACAAATAAGAAAAGTGACGTTGTGTTTCAATGTTTTGCCTCCAGCGTCGGTCATCTGACAGTTCTTGCACACAACCCATTATGATTTGAAAAACCCAGATCCTTCTAGGAAGAAAAGCACAAATTATTGTTTCATGCTTGTTTTCACTTCAATCTGACGAACCACAACAGAACACACTGAAAGTCCACAATTATTCCTTTATAGGTTAACTAAATCTAGACCACATATTATGTACAGTATGAACAGTGAAAAAATCAAGGGAAGTTATTTGTCTCGAATGCAATTATTTCAAATCATTCCCAAAAAACGTGAGGAACTGATACAAAACCTGATCAACAAACAATCCAAGTAAGTATAGAGTGCCATCAAGCTATTGGCATAGTTCCTTCCTCCACTTCCTAATCTACAGTGTGTCTCACTTTAAGAACCACCACCTTTGTAATTGTTGACCGATTTCAAAATTTTTTTCGCTAGCGAGCATTGTTGATTATTCTGATAACAATCTCAGTTGGTCGTAGACTGTTTCTTTGAACTCTTCCTTCCTCCTACAAATTTCATAATCCCACCTATCTTCCCTCCTAATATAATTTTCCGGATATGTGGGTGGTTTCATGGTCATAGTTTGTATTTTCGGTATATCTGGCTCTCACACTTTTCTGAATCCCAACTCACCAATTACGTATGATACAGTTTCCATTAGGAGTGAGACACACTGTATATTTGATCGATTGGAAGTTTCAACATCAAACAAAAATATTTACTGGGTGAAGCAAATTCTCTTTTTACTATCTGTATTGAAAAAAAAAGGATTTATGATCAGAGTTTGATAGCTCCATTCTATCGACGAGATATGTCGAACAACTCTCTTCTTGAAAAAGTACTAGTAGGTATTTTTTTATTCTGAACCTTTTGACTGTGATTGATACATCAGAAATTTTACCACTCATGATATTTCCATACAAGCCAGAGTTTCATCAGATGTTAAGAATACGCGTTTTTCATTTTTTAAAGAGCATTATTCCGTATATCACGGTATACGAGGTCCCAAAGGTATGAAGTGAACTTGTGACACCCTGTAGAGCGAGGTGCTTGAAAACAAAAACGTTACCTAACTGTTGGAATACCGGAAATATACATTATCATTTTTTCAACCTAGGTTGCAGCCAGTCAATCGAAATAATCCAAATAGGCCTTGGTACAACAAAGCTTGGAAAAAACCTGGAGACCAAGTCCGCAAAGTCATAGAGAATTCTGTCGGGTTGTCTTTTCTACAAAATTATTCTGACGACGAAGAAGACAACGAAACAGACGACGTCATTATATGTAGTAGTGTTAAGAAGAATGACAAAAATAAGAGGGAGACGGAAAATAATTCGGAAGAACATGATCAAACGCCACCGCAACCTATCGAATACATGAGTTGTCAAAAAGAAGACACTCTCATAGAAGAAGAAACCTTGACTGAACAAAAAGAAAGTACTGCCACAAGAGAAGAGAGATCAGAGGATATGATTGAGGAAAGATTAACGCCTGAAAGAATCTTCGAAACCTTTGAAAATAATGATGTTAGTTTAACTCCAGAAAGATTCGAACTAGACCATCCAAAACATCCATTATATGAAACAAGAATGGCAATAAATAAAATAGAAAAAGAAATTGAGCACAGGCATTTGGAATTGATTGAAGAGCCACACGAGCAGAGTGAATCACCGGCTAAAAAGAAGAAAAAGAAAAAGAAGACTTCGAAAAAAAAATATGACGAAGAAGTATCGAAAACCAGAAAAAAGAAGAGCAAACGCAACAAAAAATCCCACGTGGATGATGACTCTGCAAATTCTGAAGAAGAGAAACGTAAAAAATCTAAGAAAGATAGGAGGAAAGAAAAAGCAAACAAGAAAAAACGCAACCATTCGAAAGACAATAAAGTCAAAAAGAAAGTCGAAGCGTCTGAAGATAGAGAAGAAATCTCCAGAAATAAGAAGAAATCAAATGATATCGAACCAAACACAAAACATTCATCAGGAGAATCTTCCAAGAGATACAAAAAGAAGGTTAAAAAAGATAGACGCAGACACTACTCCGAAAATGAATTGGTACACAATGAAGTAGACAGTGACAAACACATATCTGACGAGGAGGAGTTTTTCCAACCAACAATTAAAAAAAATAGTATCGAAGATGCTAGACCCAATCAAGATTTGAGAAATCTCCTTCAACAATTAGAAAAAAGAAAGGAGGTGAAAAAGAATAAAGATGCGCGAGTCATTGACAATCCTATCGAAAGTCAAAATAATGAAAATATACAGGATACAGTTAGAAGAAAACCCAAGAGAGGAAAATATAGTGATGAGATTACAATAGACGATGAAATGATGAAAGATATTGAATTATTGAAGAAAAAAGATAGAGTTAGTACAGATAAGAGATCTAAGGGACGCCACTTCAAAGAACACAATGAATTCGTTGGTAGGTATGACTCAAGAGAGCCCTCAAAAAAACGTATAAATTCTCAAGACAGGCTATATCCAGAGGAACCATTCGAAGTTGACCGAATAGAATTCAACCCAATCAAAGTAAAGAAGGAGCATGATTGGGAAAATCACGAAGGAACCAATAAAAAGAAGCATCCAAAAAAGAAAACGAAACGTTCTCCAAATACGCTCGATGATTTTCCATTGGAAAAAGACTCATTCAAGAACACTATTAAAATGAAAAGCGGAACGCCCGACACCGACGAGTATCGTGGAAATTGGGAAAGCGACGAGGAAATGCCAATAGTTTCAAAACCGGCCGAAAAACCAAACACCTCTTGGGAAAGCGAAGATGAAATATTCGATACGAATCGCCTGGCCGAAAAACAACGAGAATACACTGAAATTTTGGACTTGGAGATACCGCTTACCTTTAAACCTTTCACAAGAAGAGAACCCAGTATCATCCAATTCAAACTCGAGCTACCGGAAATGGAAAGTGAAGTCCACAGCCCTCCTTGGGAAGAAGAACAAGATAAGACCGATAAGATCGATCCTATAGTTATAGAAAACAAGCAGATCGAATTAGAAGTGATACCCGATGTTGAAGAAAAAATTGAAGAGAATGTAGAAGATATCCTTCCGAAGCGACGAAGAAGCCAAGACGAAAGTTCCAACGAGACTAAGAAGAGTCGATGGGACAAGAAAAACGTAGAAGAACCGAAACCACAAGAAGAACCCTCCTGTTCACTAGCTGAACCGAAACTAGAAGATCCCCCCTGCTCGCTAGCTGAACCGATACCAGAAGATCCCTCTTGCTCGCTAGCTCCACCAGAAGAAATATTACCTGTCGACACCTCGACAGTTCTAGAAAACGAATACGAAGAGTTTATGAAAGCAGTTAGCTCCACAGTAGGTACTAACGAAAGCGCTGTGGACGAGAGCGCTTTGAACGACAGCGTCATATCCCTCAGCAGCGACTCAAACTGCAGCCTAGAAACCCCTATCCCTAACAGAAAACCGTTGAATATCGGACTCGCCTACGCCAGCACCCCCATCAAAATCGATCTGTCTGACGAAATCGAAGCAGTCATCTCCCCGAAAGACATTCCATTCATCCCGATGCCCGGAGAGGTCAAGCCTCCTCCGCAAGACCTCTCGTTCATACCGATTCCCGGAGAAGTCCTGCCCGCTCCCAAGGACATCCCGTTCATCCCGATGCCGGCAGAAATCAAACCGGTACCGCTGCCTGATGTAGTTCCCGACAGTACCGCCCTCCCGCTGATCAATCTCGGTTTGCTGGCCTTCGTGCCGCAGCTCGATCCCATTCCGAAGACCGACTTGCTTTTGACAGGTGTTGAACCGAAAGCTGCAGCTCCGTTGATTCCTTCACCTGTAACTGTTACAGACACCGTCAGCAGCACTATTTCCGCATCTAATACGTATGCGCCTGGGTTGGGTAGTGAAACTCCTGTAATAGGTGGTTTAACGCCTGTGATAAGTGGTGGAACGCCTGTAATAAGTGGTATAACGTCTGTGAAAGGTAATGAAACGCCTGTTATAGGTGTTGGAACGCCTGTTATAGGTGGTGGAACACCTATAAAAAGTGGTGGGACGCCTGTGAAAGGTAATGAAACGCCTGTAATAAGTGGAGGAACGCCTGTGAAAAGTAATGAAACTCCTGTAATAGGTGGTGGAACGCCTGTGAAAGGTAATGAGGCGATAGGTGGTGGAACGCCTTTAGCAGGTGGTGGAACACCTGTGAAAGGTAATGAAACGCCTGTGATAAGTGCTGGAACGCCTGTGCTAGGTGATGATACGCCTGTAGTAGGTGGTGGAACGCCTGTGAGAGTTAGTGAAACACCTATGACAGATAATCTAACACCTGTTAAAGGAGGTAGTGAGGTCTCGACAGGGGATAACACGTCGACCATTCCGAGGACCATCGAGAAACCCTTCAGTTTGGTGTTGCCTCTGAAGAAAACATTGGTGAATTCCCGTTTGAACTTCGGTGATTCCGATGAGGAAACAGAGAAATCGAAGAAGTCGTTGGAGGAGATCAAAATGGAGAATTTGGTGGAGCTGGCAGAGATACAAAAAATCGAGGAGAAAGAGACGGCCGAGGCTAAAGCGGAAGAGGTTGGGGCTACTAAACCTGACTCCTCGAAGAAGAGAGAAAGAAATAGGTCTCACAGTCCCATAATGAAGAAATCGTCCAGCCAGCCGAAATCAAGGACGGAGAGGAAATCTTCTGACAGTTCTTCGAAGTCAAAGAGGAAGGAGTCTCCCAGAAGGAGAGAGAGTTCGCCTAGAAAGAGGGATAAATCGCCGAGGAGGAGGGGTGTTTCGCCCAGGAGGAGGGACAGCTCGCCGAAGAAGAGGGGCCATTCACCGAAAAGAAGTTCTCCATCTAGAAGGAGATCATCGCCAGGTTGGTTTTCAGAATATTTATTAGGTTAATTAACACAGAACAACTTTGTAGTTTTATGGCAGGTTGCATAATAGATATTTACGATACAAGTACCATGAATATTCATATTACAATTATGGTAATATGAATTTACGATACGAATATCGTTCAATTTTTTATCTGCTACCAAAATCGCTAAATATTCAATAAAAAATAGCTGATATTCCTTAAATTAACGATTCACTAGGAATTTGTTACAAGCGAGCATTGCAAGTGTTGGGCGGATGCTTGTGAATCTATTGTGTTCTCGGTTGTCACTCATTCTGCGAACTGTCAACTTTGACACTTTCATTTCAATTTGGAATAAAAATGTATAAACATGAATTCCGATCACGAAAGCATAGATCAAGATTGAAATTGCGGCAAATTAAGCAATTTAAACTTGAGTACCCGCTATATTTATGATCAATTATTTCTTCTTCCCATTTGTTTTGAGTAAACAAGTGAAATTTGAAATTATCCTCTTTACTTTACCGCACTAGTGCATTTGACAGACGATACAATATTTAATTTTTTAGAGTATATCAATTGCTAGGTTAAATTGACGTTGAAAAGGCAGAAATATAGCAATAATCAATGAAATGGTAGATGAATGACTAATTTCACAGCTTTATTTATACCACTGAGGGAAAATGTTAAAACTAACGGCATTGATAAAAGTTGTTTTTATAGAATACCAAATATGAATGAATAGTGGAAAATCTGGGGTGGTTAAAAAAGTTCTTAATAACAACATTACTTATTCAGCCACCTTATTAAACATTTCTTACAGAATTGGACCGCTTATATGTATGTAAAATTGAGGAAAAGTATGCCAAAAGAATCAATAATATTATCAAAACAAAACGGATAAGTTAGTTACTTGAATCGAATGTGGCTAAATTTGTTCATTATAGATTCAAAGTCAGTTTATTTGTACCTAATTAGAATTCAAATTTCTGAATATCTATGTCAATTGAACACTAATCCAAACTGGTATCTTCTGCAAATAAAGTCAAATCGAGATTGGTTGTATCATGTATCTACATCAAAAATAGAATCGGACCTAAAACTGACCCCTGGGGAACTTCCTGTACAATTCTTCCCATCTTCGACGTATTTTCACCCAGTAAACCTTCTATAATGTACCATCGAATAGGTAGAAGGCGGTATTCTTCTAGAAGGAGCACCTCCCCAGGCCACAGGAGACGCAGCCTTTCCCCGCGTAAAAAGTCCCCCAAAAGAGGTTCTTCGCCTAGAGGTTCATCGAAACACGCGAAGAAAGCCAGATCGAAATCCCCCAAACGCACCGACAGCACTGCCAAATCCAGAGACAGCATGGAAAAATCCAGCGACAAAAAAAGACCGAAGTCCTCCAGCGAGGGGTTGAAAAAAAGCTTGGCCGATTCGACGATTCCTGACGAATCTCTGCTGCCCCCAACAAACTCCGATGACGTATCTAGTGCGCACGCGCCTACTAAGCTAGTGGACTACTCCAAAGAGCAGCTTAGCTCCATCAGCACCACCTACGATAACTTCAGTTATGAACCGAAGCAGTTTCCGCATAAAGTGGTGCAGTCCGTACACCACTTTGCGCATGCGCCGGCGCACTCTCACAGCAACTTCGTTCAGGTGGGGAATATGGTGCAGATCGTGCCTACCGATTTGCATATGAAGACTGATTATATGAGGACTGATAGCTCTACGAGAAACAAAGACATCGTCGGTCAGGAGAAGAAGATGCAAATTGTTCAGGTGAGAAATTGGGAAGTTTTCTATATTCAGAATTTAATTTTATCGTGGAGTTTATGAAAAACCATTGTATACGTTTTTTTCGATACCATAGGCTCAGATAATAGTATATTATACACCTAGGGTGCGAAGTGAGCTATGATGTAAGCTTCGCACCTCTTGATATAATGTGCGAGCTATGTAATACTATTCTCACCCGAGGTATATATAATATTTTTTCTACTAATAATACTGAAAAATCAACATCTGTTATGAATTCCAATTTTCTTTTCCATCAAAGGAGCAATGCCACTCACCGTGTATATTCAGCATTGTTTCAGCATATTACTAAAATTTTTGATACATCAAGCTTAAGAGTTCAGTTGTAAACAAACTGAAAGGAAATTCGACTTGGCTGTCAGAAAATATAGAAAATAAGCATAGCTGTCCTCAAAGCGAGACCAACTTATGTCTTTATAGGTAACGAAATCGACCAATAGGCGTTGATGCCGACGTAGGGAAAAAATAATACAGCAATATGGATACTAATTTCAAATTTTTAAATTGGTTTTAGCGCGTATGTGATTGATTGTGATTGAAATTCGAATATTTGCGTTTTTAGTTATACAATTATTGTTTGTGTTTTCGTTTATTTTTCATAGACTGAACTTTTTTAACCATGTCTAGTGAAAAAGAATAGACAGGATTCATCTTTTCATAAGTAAGTTTGAATTTTCAAATTTTCTCTGTTAAAAATCAATCGCGCGATCGAATGACTTGAAATTTGGTCACCCAGTATATTTGATGATGCTCACTCGAAATATGCTATTGAATAAATTGTAGATATACAGGGTAACACTGAAGTGCACCTGAACTTTCCTATTTGAATAGGGACACCCAGTATATTATTCCATATTCGAGTAGAGTTCATTATTACAAACTCAACAATGCCGGATTTGATGGGATTTTTTCGAACGACTACGAAGATTTGGCAAAAAATAAAACTATTCAATGAAAAATTTATATGATTAGATTTCATCAATATAACAGATTGAAATCGAATGAATAAATAATTAGAACCTCAACTGCTCAATATGTCGTCCATTTTGCTGCAAACATTTCCTAGCTCTTTTGATAACGTTCATTGTGACCCTATGTATCACGTTGCCAACAATTTGTGCGCATAAATTTATGATTTTCTCTTTCATTTCTTTCATATTCACAATTGGTGACTCATAAACTTGGTTTCATGTAGCCCCACAAATAAAAATCCAGTGGTGTGAGGTCTGGCGACCGACCTGGCCAGTAGCTATCACCATCGAGATATGGTGGTTATTAGATTTTCTCCAAACCGATGGCGAAGATAATTCTTTACGGGTCTGTAGTTATGTGCAGGACACCCATCGTTCAATTTCAATCGTGTTATATTGATAAAATCTTCGTAGTCGTTTGAAAAAATCACATCAAACTCGGCATTGTTGAATTTGTAATAATGAATTCTACTTGAATATGGAATGATATACTGGGTGTCCCTATTCAAATAAGAAAGTTGAGGCGCACTTCGGTGTGACCCTGTATACCTACGATTCATTCAATAGCATATTTCGAGTGAGCATCATCAAATATACTGGGTGACCAAATTTCGAGTCATTCGATCGCGCGGTTGATTTTTTACAAGGGGGGACATTTTAGCTGGGACACGGTGTATATTGACGTGCACAAAGGTACACACTTATTTACATTATCAATGGAGTTATCAATCATCCAGCAACAAGCATAATATAATGGGAATTTTCTTAAAGTAAACCAAGTTTGAATCAGTAAATGACAAGTAGTGTAGTTTAGTCCCATCACGCTAAACAGATTTGAGTAGATCACTTTCACCACATTGAAAAAGAATACGTATACCTAGGTTAATCCTGACCAGATCTGAAGCAATAATGTTGGATTAATGGGTGTGAGTTTCGAGATTCCACCGAACAGAATGAAATCATTATCGCAGTTCATTTCATTATCATCTGCAATGGCTCTTTCCTGTTCCTCAAAGTTACTGACATTATGCTTTGCTATATTTTAACCACATTATAAAGGAATAAATCGAAGTTGACGGTATTATACTCTGGTATTATCAGTAATTGATGATTTTTAATATTTTATTATGATCATTGTCATCATCATGTCAACAATATTATGTTAATAATAACTCACAATAGCTACACAAAACCGAACACAACTTCAAAAAATAAGAAAAATCCTTCCAAACGAAATGTAAACAATACAAAATATGTATCGCTCTCGACTGTCAAATACCAAGAAGCGTTGTTGCAATATTGACATACTTGAAGCACTCGACATGATAACCAGAATATTTATGAATCACGATGGATTGATTCTGATCCGACTAACAAATAAATGCATGTCTAGTTCACATGAACAGGTACCAAAATTGAAGATGACGGTACATATTGATTACTTTTTCATTAGGCGGCATGACAACACTGGCTGCGATTGGGAACTAAAATTATGAAAAGGAAGAATGAAATCTCGAAGTCATTCTTTGAAAAATTCCACTCCACTTTGAGCAAACATGGACTTCTACCAGAGACTAATTTTTGTTCCAAAATTGTTCTTATCCATCATTCGGTTGCCCCCTCACGAGCAACCCTCAGAAGTCTTCAAGAGACTTGTGCCAGCCAGGAATGACGGAGGTCTTACCTCTCAACGTGTGATCCCAAACACTTTCTTAGGCCATCAGAAAAATTTCTGCGGTCGTGGTGGGAATCGAATCCACTACCGGTAATCCAACGTGGATAGAACATTCTGTCTCTGTAGACCCAATAGTTTTCGAGCTTAAGCCTTTCAAAGTTTTTTTTTTTTTCGAACTTCGCAATTTTTTGAATTGGAAGGCGTCACTCGAATATACTCTAGCGGGATGAAGTTTCAATTACCTCCGACGGAGTGTGCTAGTACCTACTGTTCGTGTGAAGTCACGAATGCGACTTACCTGTAGCACGTTTTCAAACTTTTTAGGCAATCTAAAACCACGGGACTTTTTAGCTGGCAAGATGGCGCCTGGTTGTAGGGCCAACACATATAATAAGTATTGGTTTTCTCTCAGGTACCTGCTGCACATCCTTTGGTTTCTCATGATTGATTGTGTTGTTAGATCCTTTCTCTTGATGGCTGCTATCCACATTTCTCTTTTTATTCTTGATAGATCTTTCATCTGTGGATAATGCACAATGTACCTGATGTTGTAGTAGTAGATATCCCAGAATGCGACGATCTGTCCGATGTTGAAATGGAGGATGACTTGTGGGCAAAAGACGTCGACGATTCGTCACCATCCCCTGATGGGGATATGCCATCCCAATACGTCGATCCAGATCCAGACGAACCTCAACCGTGACCTTCCAAGAGGGCTAAATTAATCTAATTTTATGATCTTCAATATTACTCTAATTCCTGATAAATAAACTCATTAACTTTTGTTGTACTTATCTTTTTTATTTCATTATTCGTAGCTCAGCTTAAACATCCTCGTTCACACTCCTCATTTTATTTCTTATCATCTCATCATGAAAGTACAGGGCTTCGATTGTATAATCAGGATCAAAATTCAATCAGAACGACAGGATTGCAAAAAATTGCGAGGTTCGAAAAAAATTATAAACTGAAAGGCTCAATCTCGGAAACTAATGAGTCTACAGAGACAGTTTTCATATCATATTGTAGCAAATTTGGTCTACTTTAAAAATGTTCTAGAAGAGTTTTTCTCAAAAATTAGTCCTTTATGGTTATAATGGCGAAGAACTGACAAAAAAAAACTATTTTTTCGCAGTTTTTTCGACTTTTGACAAAGTTGCATCTGGCGCTCAAGGTCACAAACTGGGATTATTCATTAGGTCAACATCATGAACAAGTCTCCAAAAAATCATAACTACCGGATTTGATGCATACTGTGATGCATAAAGTTACTGGATTATATGTTATCCTTCTAGGGGGTTTTGTTGTTTGGAGGAGAAAACAATGTAATATTTGCAGGTCGGCAATATGCTTCAGATAGTCCCCACCGAACTACCTCCTCTGCCTCCGTTGCCGCCTCTACCTCCGGAAGACCCCAAAAGCGAGCCGCTGGAAGTGCTCGAGTTCAAGCTCGAGCAGGAGAAACAGTCGGCCGAGATGTCGATGAAGCAGAAAGTGGCCGAGCGAAGGGCCGAAAGGGACAAGAGGCGGTCGGAGAGGGAGGCCAGGCGGAAGGAGAAGGAGAGGCGGCGCAGGGAGAAGGAGAAAAACAGGCAGGTCAAGTTGAAACAGAAAACGGAAAATATGATTAAGGTAAATAATGCGTTCGGTTCTATATGATAACGAGATATTCGCAGCCATTATATAAACTATTTTTTTCTGTGACGGGAAAAAGTTTGGCATTTCATCTCTGTGTTCTATATTATGATAACGAGATATTCGCACCCATTGTATAAACTATTTTTTTCTGTGACGGGAAAAAAGTTTGGCATTTCATCTCAGTTGGCAGGTTATAAAATGTCACTTTTCATAAATTACTTTTTTCCCGTGTGAAAAATTGAGTATTTTTTTCCCGGATATATATCACATATATATACACTGTTGATGGCTTTTGTTGTGCTATAGTTCCGAAAAATGAGTCAATAATACCGTCTCCGAGAAAGAACTGCAAGTCCTTTTATCTTCTATTCGACTTCGCGGTTATGTGTATTACTGAACCACCACTAAATTCGCAATTTTTTCAAATCAAATCACAGAATTAGACTGACAGAAGTGACATCAGATATTTGATTACTTCAAAAGAATGATGGAGATGCCAACAACGCAGGTGTCCCTACTGTTAAAAACTTAAAATTTCACGTCGATAATTTTCAGATTTCAAAATAATGTAATATCTACTCAATATTGATTCGTGCTTTCTTCTGTCACAGATAAAAATAGTGTATTATACACGGGAAAAATATTAGACTTTATCTCACAGTTGACAACACAACCTGGAGCTAAAATCTACTACTTTTTTCCCTTGTATAATGAATAACTATGATCTACTCACTGCATTGAAAGTAAGAGTTTGCTCCCCCATTAAGGACACAATTTACCTCCACTTGAGAAGAGAAAAATCACCTCCCGTGGGAGTTAAAATAAATTGGCTTCAGCTAGCTTCCTTGGTAGATATATAGGTATAAGACCTGTGCTACTCAAGTACATAATCAATATCTCAAAAATCAAACGTTAAAATGCAATTACACAATAAACAAATTCAGTATGACAGAAGTGTCAAATTGATTTTCATTCAGATTCAAATACTGTCAATTATTATCCATAGCACACTACACTTGTAGCACATTGATTTCGATCGAGACTGGAGAGATAGACCGCCTGAAGCACAATTTTAAGAACGACGCTCTCGAATCGCGTCCATGGATAAAATCATGAATTTATCTTGGGAGCAGAGGTTAATTTCCCCGTATGTCTGTTTAATGCCCTCCGCTAAATATTTTTTCAATATGCGTGTAGTAGGACATATCAGATGATTTGCCCCAAAATGCCCCTGGGTTTGGAAATTTCTCTATCAGAGATTCTTGAAGAAAAATCCAATCGTTTGTCAGTGGCACCTTGTTTTGAAAAATGTTTGAAGAAAATACATATAGATAGGTATATTGAAAAAATATGGAATATTTGCTTATCTTTGGACGTTTTGGGAACGATTCTAGTTCCGTTTTCAACACAAAAATGCGAAAATATTGTTCTTTGAAAATTGTCTCCCGATAGTGAAACACTTCTCAGTGACAGAGACTGATGATGTTGGTATTTAAATGAGTCAAGTTGGCAAATGAGTTACAGAATATTTCCATTAATTAAGTTATCTTGAATCTACCATTTTCATGTTCAGTTTTCAGTAGAGAGTACCATATTCTATCCATACCAACTGACACTGAACTAAACTGGAAGCAATGCTATCGCTCTCTAATCTACAGACAGTATATAATGATCATGAATTTGAGAATTCCTTCTCAATATGGAATTTCTTTCAAGTTTTTTATTTATGATATAATAGGCTAGTGAACTATTTTTTTTATATAGAATCATCACTCAATCACCTTCCAATTCCATGTGTTTTCATTTTTTTCGGTCGATTTTAAGGTTGTCAGTTATCAGCATTCAGCACTTCATTGCCAAGTCTCTATAGCCAATATTAACATTATGTTTTGTTATGGAGCATAAGAAATATCTTGACAAGCTATAATATCATGGCTTCCTCCTCTTACGTCAAATGAAATATTTTATTTGGAAGTAGATTTATTCAACAATAGGGCTCTAACAACTATTCTATAACTTGATTGTAATAATTGGTGATCTGATAACCTTGCTTCATGAGTGGACATAAGCAAAAGAACTGACGTTACCTTATATCTGACGTATCCCAGAAAAAATGTTGGAACAATCTAATGTATATAAGTTTGTAGTGTTTTTCAATTCATTTTATTGCTAGCAGTGTTTTTCATCAGCAGTATGAGTATGGTAGAAGTCTCATTTGAAATCAATGCTTGTTGTTTCAGAGAGCTCTCGAATTAGAAGTTGAAGGGGGTGAGGAAAATTCGTTATTGAATGAAACTCCTACACAGTGGCCACCTCTACCAGCTGTGACAGGCTGTCCCAAAGAAAGTCGAGGTATTCTCGTGATAGGACAAAGGTGAGTGGATAATTTGAATTCGTAATTTTCATCAATTTACGGCTAATCGGGGTAATCACAAACAGGGGACTTACTTACATTCACATCGATTAATAATATTAGTAGGGAAGTATAGAAACGAACTGAGACAACAGATGAGATCCCATTGTATTTGATAAGAAAATGTATTTATACTTCAGCAAGACCTATTCACTTGCTGTTCAATTCATCTCTTGAGAAGGGGGAGATACCTAACAACTGGAAACACAGTTTCGTTAAACCTATCCACAAAAGTGGTTCACGAGAAGATGTTAGCAATTATAGAGGTATTTGTAATCAGTCAGAGTTACCAAAAATGTTGGATTGTTTGATCACTAGAAAACTATCATGGGATTTTAAAAATATTATATCTAACCAACAACATGGTTTCTGTCGGGGTCGATCAACATCAACAAACCTGTTGCTTTATCAAAACTATATCATCAATTCATTAGAGAATAAGCTGCAAGTAGACTCTATTTACACAGACTTCTCTAAGGCCTTTGATAGAGTTAACCATAGTCTGTTACTTGCAAAACTTGAAGCTTTGGGTATAGAGGCGAATATTCTAAGTTGGATCAGAAGCTATCTCACTAGTAGAGTCCAATATGTGAAATATGGGAGCTAAGTTTCACAACCAATCGAAGTACCATCAGGTGTACCACAAAGATCTCACATGGGACCTCTGTTATTTAATCTTTTTGTTAATGACCTCTCTGATGTCATCATCAACAGTTCCTTCTTGATGTTTGCCGATGACCTGAAGATGTTTAGAACGGTTCAATGCATTTCTGATGCTGAGAGGTTGCAGCTTGATCTGAATAATTTTTCCAGATGGTGCCATATCAATTTATTGAAACTGAATTTGAATAAATGTCAAAAGATAACATTTTCAAGAAGCCATGATGCTATTGATCATATTTACAGAGTTAATGATGCTAATCTATCAGTAACCAATACAATCAAAGACTTAGGAGTAATATTCGACTCGAAAATGACCTTCAAACATCACATAATAGAAACATCATCTCGTGCTCGTAAAATGCTAGGCTTCTCCCTCCGTTCTGCTAAAGAACTATCTGTCAATGCAGTTGAAATTATTTATTGTGCACAGGTGAGGTCTATTCTTGAATATAATTCTTTGATCTGGTCACCATTTTACAAAGTTGATTCTGATCTCCTAGAGGGTTGTCAAAATAAATTTTTAAGAAGTTGTGCATATCACATGGGATTCAATAGGGATGAATATACCTATCCACAAATATTAGATATTTTGAACATGAATACGTTGATACATAGAAGAATGGAAATTGATCTATTATTCCTCCATAAAATTATCAATGGTTACATTGATTCTCCTGAAATTGTTGCTCTGATTATGCTTTCCGCAAATACAAGAAGAAACAGAAATAGTGACATTTTCACGATACCATTCTGTAGGACAAATTATGGCCAAAATGAATCAATGAATAGAATTTTGAAAACAGCAAACACAAACAATCACCAAATTGAACTTTTCAATTCATCTTTATTGTCTCTCAGGAGAGCGATAAAAAACTGTTAATCACTTTTTACATAATCTTCATCTTTCTATTCGTTTTAGCCTTATCATTTTTTTTGTGTTAGTCTTCTTCATAGATATGATAATGTATACGTGCTCTGTATTTTTATACTTTCTTTTTGTAAATTGGGCTTGTCCGTTAATAAATAAATAAATAAATAAATAAATAAATAAATAAATAAATAAATAAATAAATAAATAAATAAATAAATAAACATTGCAGATTTCCTAGTCAAATTAATGGATGCTCCTCTTGTAACTTTGTTCAAAATACCCTGTTGTTGTGAAATCATATCAAAGAATCCAACAAATATTGATAATTTTGTGAACGTGTCTGGATGTTTGGATTTTGATGCAGGTCGAAAAAATACCTAAAATTAGACAGGAAGAAAAACGTGCAATTCGCTGACGGCATACGACCTGGCGAGGGCACCTCTCCCTCTGCCGGCGAAGAACTTTCTTCTCCACCGCCTTGTAGAACGCTACCGAAGGAGAAGAGGTACACGAAGACCAAGCTGGGGAAGAACAAGAAGAGAAAAGTCAAGGTTCGTAATGCAAACAAGGGTATTAACGATGAACATTCTTGAGATTATTCATCTAACCACACGAAGTATTACACGATAATGATGGAAGTAAGATATGGTGCGCGTATTCGGCCATTATTACGTATTGAAAATTTCAGAAAAGTCACTCGACCGCCAACTATGATTCCTTTACGTCACAACGTTGATTCTACATTTTCCCGCTAGATTGTGATGCTGTTATTGCGCTGCTGTGACTAGTGGAAATATAATGGCAAATGGCATTTTAGAATAGAATAGAAGTGTATTCGTGCAGTACATACATAAAGTGTTTGCATACGTCAATAGTAATACATAATATTAGTATAAACTAAAATCAGAATAACAACTACAAAAACATTAAAACATTGTACAGTGAATATACAGTCAAATACCAAACTCTTGGCAAAGAATGCAGACGTTAAATCAGAGATATAGCAGTACACAAAATATCTGTTACTAGGCAGTTAACGAATTAGTTAAAGGTTCGAAATGAACAAAATATTCTTCGAATGTGTAAAAGGCATTTTCTAAAAGAATGTTCTTGATTTTTAACCTAAAAGTGCTTATACTCAGGTCAGGAGACTGAAACTCATTAGGTAACACATTAAAAAATTTCAAAGATAGATATACATAAGAGTTTTGCGATTTACTCAACCTATATTTGGGTAGTCTCAAATTTGTTTTGGCCCTGGTATCATGGTGGTGTATGTCCTCCTGCCTGGTAACTTTATTTTCACCTCTAAATTTTTTGGTATAACACAAACATTCATATATGAAGCAAGGTCGCAGAGTCAAGATATGGAGATTTTTGAAGAAAGGTCTACAATGGTCATCATATTTAGCCTGTGCCATAATTCTGACGACTTTTTTTTGTAATTTGAATATTATACCTGAATGACATGATGAACCCCATACTATCAGTCCATATGTCATTATGCTGTGGAAAATGCCAAAATAAGCTACTCTTAAACAGTCTGTTGTTATTATTTGGCTAAGTTGTCTTATTACATATATACAGGTTGATAGGCGCTTCGATAATTTTTGAATATGAGGTAAGAAATTTAAAGATGAGTCCAAATACACTCCAAGAAGCTTGACTGGTTCAAAATTTTCTATATTATCTTTGGTTGAGAAATCTAAAGTTTTGGTTTTATCATCATTCATAGTGAGATAGTTGCTTCCAGACCAGTTTGTTATGAAACTTTCTAATTCATTAGCGTTGGAAAGTATATTGGAAGGCATAGTGTCACATAAGAGAAAAGTGGCATCATCAGCATACATTACCGGAGACACATTCATAAGGTTCAAAGGCATATCATTAATATAAATAATAAATAATACAGGACCAAGGACAGAACCTTGTGGTACTTCATAATTGACTTTCAAAGGTTTTAGGTACGCGGAACATATGTAACAGTGGAATTATTCAACTCTGAATTCGAAAAATCTGTGACAATTTCAAAACTGACAGATGTCCTAATTGTGCAATGTCGCCATCTATTTGAAGATCGACGCAACCATTGCTCTCGCTGTTCTCGAGAGGTCGAGTAAAATTTCTGAAACAAAAGCGCATCAGTAATTAATCTTACTTTCATCATTTACACGATTAAAGTTTTTATAACTTTTTATTTGACAACTTTTATTGACAAGTCAATATTTCAATAAATGAAAATCTACACAGTACACAACTACCAGTTTCTTCTTTTTAAACATCTGCTTCCAGTAGTTGCTGCTTGCTTAGATTATTTTGTTTTTTTTTCAACACCTCAAATGAATACTAAGGAACTGGAACTACACCAAGCATTTGTCTCATTCTTGAGAATTTTATTCTAGGCATAGATTTCGTCAACACGTCTGCAACTTGATTTTCACTGCCGACGTGCTGAATTTTCTTTATTCCACATTGAAACTTCTCAAGAAGTATTACAGGTTTAAAGTTTTTATAACTTTTTATTTGACAACTTTTATTGACAACTCAACTCAACTATTTCAATAATTGAAAATATACAGAGTACACAATTTTTTTTTAATTGACTCGGCTGTTGCTTGACGGAAATCCATGGCAAATGTAAAAACTTCAGAACCGATAAGATTTCCACAAAATTCTTAAACACACAACATGTTTCGCTAACACAGTAGCTTCGTCAGGTGATATACTATTACAATGAACTTCATTGTGCGATAACCTCAAAATCGTTGTGAATGCTCTACCAACTACACTAATATGATATTGAAGCTCCGCTACAATGAGTACTTCGATCGAAGTTCCGTTGTCCATATTATTTATAAAATTCAATTTTCTTCTGTCTCGATACCAGAAGTTCGAAGAACCCAGCACCTACGATACTTTTTTTTCTCTAGCCACTTACAAAAACTACAACAACAATAAAAACGACCCATAGTCGTCTCTGCTGATATTTTAGCAGGAGTGAGTTTGATTGAGAAACTGATCTCTTGAAAATATAACTATTAGAACTAAAATTAATAACTGTGAGTCTAAGATACTATATTTGAACAAAGTGGTTCCTCAAGGATCAGTGTTGGGTCCAATTCTTTATTTATTATACATTCAAAATATTGAAAGAATGAATTTGATAGGAAACTATACCATATATGCAGACGATACAGTGCTTCTATATGAGAATAAAAACCCAGTAGTTCTAGAATATATCATGAATGAGGACTTGAAAAAAATTGAGAAATGGCTTTTATCCAATCTTCTTTCTCTTAATTCTAATAAGACTCAATATATAATTTTTCGGCAAAGAAATGAACAAAATATTGATCTTGATATTAGAATAAGAAATGAACGTTTGAAACAAACTGCCCATACCAAATACCTTGGTATTTGGATTGATGAGAAATTGACATGGGAAAAGCATATTGACATCCTCATAGGTAAAGTATCTCCCATTATTGGTGCTTTAAGATGTCCTAAACTTAGTACATATACATCAAATATTATTCTCTATTCACATATACTCAGTCGAATTAACCATCTCATAAATATTTGGGGACATTGTTCCAAAAATAGATTCAACAAAATTTCTGTTCGATATAAAAAGGCATTGAAAGTATTGTATCGTCTTCCATATGATACTCCAACGAATCAACTGTATAAGGAAACAAACACATTTTCTTTGGAAGAGCACTTTTCAATCAATACTTTGAAAATTTCGTATTATATCATCAACAAAAAGCTTAAATCAAATTTTATATTAATTAGGAATTCGATTTCGAAATTCAATAAATAACCAGATGATATCAAAAACAGTCCAAATATTATGCAATTCAAAAATAAAGTGAAGAAATATATTTATATGCAAAGGAATGATCAAAGCTGCAAGAGAATTTCCTTTTTTTTACTGTATTTATTTTTCCCATTCTTGTTCACTTGTGACTGTTATTTTGACATATCTTAATGATATGTAAGTTTTGTTCACTATTTGTAATTCCAATTACATTCATGAATGATTTTATTCCAGGAATTACTGTCTGATAATTCATGTCATTCCTACTAGAAAATTTTAATTTTAAAAATAAATTTTATATATTATTTGTATGAAATGTATCCATGAAGAAAATAATTTAATGCAATTCGCGGGAATCAATGTTACCAGGTGGCGCTCGGTTTTCATCGTTCCATGTCAAAGCCACGTCAAAACTGGGGGAAAACAAACTCAATCCTCATTCAATCCCATGAGTGCCATTAGCTTGTGTACTATGTACTGATAAGAGTGATAACACTTTATGTCATTGACAAGTTTGACAACTACAGCTAAAGCAAGATGTATGCAGTGTAGTCTATGCACTTTATCCATAGTCAACAGTTTGTTTTCCCCCAGTTCCAAGTTCGTATTATGTAACCTAGATGTCGCTCACTTCGTGAATCTCGCGAATAACTGAAATAAATAAATAAATAAATGAATTGTAAACCTAATCATACCCAGTGTTATGCCAGAACCCGATTTAATCACGTAACATGCAGATACCAAATATCTAATATCGCATATCGAATTTCCTCAGGTGAAAATCATCAAGTCAATTCCAACGGACCTCTCGGACGAGGAGGACCATCTGCCGCCGCCGTCGCCGCCTCCAGGCTCGCCGCCCCCCCACCTCTTCCCGTCTCGCATCAAGCCGCAGCCCGCCGTCGTCGGTAACATGTTGCCGCAGCCCTCCGTCGTCGGTAACATGTTGCCGCAGCCCGCCGTCGTCGGTAACATGTTGCCGCAGTACGTGTCGAGTATGGCGGCCTTGCCCGTTCAGAATCCCTCGATGTACAGGTATGTTTCCTGAATATTGCTCTTTGTTTGTTTGTTTGACTGATGACATTTCTACGGACTGATTTATTCGGCCGTGGGCCCACCATAATAATAATGATAATAATATCTTTATTTTCCATCTGACAAATGGAAATTGTGTTGGATTCGTCATTACAGGTGAAGTGGATATAACAGTTAGATAAGTTGAATAAAACAAACACAAATAACTTAAAACTACATTTATAGCTTTTGGGTGTATGATAAATTGACATTCAGCATACAGGGCGTGGAAAGAAATTCTGAATTGAGACTCTATCACGAATCTGCGATTAGAGGTCTATAAAAATCACAAGTTTCCATCGTTCAAGTTTGAACCCCCTGATTGGGTATGAAAGTGTTGAAAAGGAATATTCCAAGATAAATTATGAACATACAAAAATGGATATATATTTATATAAAGCAATACATTGAGAATTCGCATTCTCTATGTGATGAGAATATTTACTCGGTTTTAGTTGTATTATAGAGAGATGAAAATTGTGTATATCATGAAGAATGGCTGTAAGAATAAGTGGACATCATGGTTACTGATGAGGATTCAGAAATCCGAAATGGTTTCATTGCAATAAAGTCATATAACCTGTGTGTGAGAGATAATATTTCCCATATCACTGATATGAATGATTATTTTTGGAAGTTTTCAAGCTCATCAAGATCAGAGTTAATGCCAGTATACTTCTCCTATACATTCCAATTTTCATTTCAATGCTGAATATATTGGTAAGTTATATTTCTATATCATTATACATCATATTATTCATCCGATTTGTCAATTCACAATTTCGGAGGATTTTATTCTTTATTTTTCATGTTCTCCTTTTGAATGTTCATCAGATATAATTCAATGTTCGACGAGGCAAATAGCCAGGAAAGTAGTTGTTTTCTGTTGAATATTCAGAATGATGTGTGCATATACATATTTTTATCTGAAGGAGAATGCAAATTCTCAATTTCAGAAGTTTTTATATTTTATTTTCTAACTCTTATCGTGTGTGTTCAATAGATATAATTCAATGTTCGTCGTGGCATATAGCCAGGAAAGTAGTTGTTTTCTATTGAATCAACTGAGAAAGAGTAAATATTCTCATCACATAGAGAATGCGAATTCTCAATGTATTGCTTTATATAAATATATTTCCATTTTTGTATGTTCATAATTTATCTGAGAATATTCCTTTTCAACACTAACATCTATGGAATTAGGGATAACTGACCAGTACTCATTTGATAAATCTTGACAAAAACTATCCACGACCGTTTCAGATGGCTTTGACAATAATTATCTGGTCCATGTGAACCATATTCGAGAAATATCGATTGATGGTCAGAAATAATATTATCCACAATACATTGTACATTGTTCCGATACATTTGTGAATATTTGAAAGTGAATTTGTTGCTATTCTAGTGGGCCATCTGATCGAGTGGTTCAATCCATAACAAGTGAAAATATCACACAGTTTTACAAAATCTTTGTTTACTCCATTGTAACAATCTAAATTGAAATCACCGCATACAAAGATGTCCGAACTTGTCTTATAAATGATATTCATAACATCTTAGATCTTTCCAAAAAATGTTTGTAAATTACCCTTTGGTGACCTATAGCAGCAGAGGACAATTCTGGATGTTGATTCTATTTTACATGTTATTCCGCATATTATATATTATATTATAGCAACTCCACCACAAGTAGTGTTGGTCCTGCAGAAGTGAGCGGTCAAAGAAAAGTTCTCGGTGTGGAATGAATGTGCTGAATCTTTTTTAAACCTAGTTTCAGTGAGGCATATAAAATTCACATTGAAATTAGTTATATCTATAATTAATTGTACTCACGGCGTCGGGGTAGCCTCAGGTGATTCCAGACATCACTGGTTAAAAGCTTGAGGTCCCCACTCTTGTCATGGTAGCCGAACGTGTAAAAGGCCGCGAACGGACACCCATCAAACGGGACTGGAGAATTCTGGTCGACATGGGTAGCTGGGCTTGCTCAGCGAAAACTGGAACTCTGGTGTACCTTGTGCCTTAATTCGTCAGGGAGGGGGCAGCCCCAAGCGATCCTACGGCCAGTCATCGTAGGCAATGCCGGGTCCTTTCCTGTAAATGAGGCTGAGGAACGTGTAAAAATCCTCGAACGATCACTCATTCAACGGGATGAGAGGATTCTTGTCAACATGAGTAGCAATCAGGCCAAAGCCTCTTGCGACGGCGACCCATCAAACGTAACAAGAGGAATCTTGTTGACATGGGTACCTGGGGTGATGAGGATAGCCCTATCAGGCCCTATCAAAAAAACACCACCGGACTACGGTAGAGGAGGTGAAGAAGAATCCCACTATGAGTCAAGTGAGAGGATATCTTGCCTGCCTCGGCGGGTTAGCAGCGTTTCTGCTCGGGCACTGACACTGCAGAGCCAGTAGTCTGTCTTATCAGACGGCCTCACCATTGGTGTAATAAAATGGTAGCAAGAGAACATGCCGTTACATAACGGAGATGGCTCTAACGCGCTGATTTGGCGTATCCAAATCTTCCATTTCTCTCTGGGGCGTGCTGTCGATATAAGCTGACGCAGGTGACCGGCAGCCATCCCCTAGGGAAGTCTTGGGAAGGAGAGGGGGGGAATTGGTCTCACCTGTTGCTACCCCGGCAACATTATTGATATGATATGACTGATTCATTCTGCCCGGGTTTGATCTATTCGCGTTTATATTCTTCTTAAAATATAACTAAGGCAACCGTTTAATAATCCGGTCATAAGCGCTAAATGTGAATCAACGTGGAATCATTACAGAAGATCTAGGGTAACATGTTGCCGCAGTAGGTGTTCAGTATGGCGGCCTTGTCCGTTCAGAATCCCTGGATGTTCAGTTAGGTTTCCTGAATATTGCTTTTTTTTTGTTTGGCTGATGACATTTCAAAGAACTGATTCTTCATCAAATACCAGGGGTCCCAGAGTTCTTAGACACGCAGATATCTGGGTTCTCTAACATACAAAAAAAATGAGAAACTAGAATATATGGGAGCGAAATCTCTCCAAGACAATAGAATCGAATCACCCTCACGTCAAATAAACTACTAGAAATCACCCCCAACTTTGTTTTTCGAATTACACTCCCATGTTTTTTTTCGGTTCTTCTTATAGAACTTTTCATTCTCAACAGTGATATATTGGACTAGATATCTAGCAAGAAATTCATCCTTGGAGATTTCGCATAATCTCAATGATTCTTATGAAAAATATCTATTTTTCCTCATATGAATGTAACTTTATCGCCTAATCAGACTTCGTGTGTGTAGCTCAGTCAAAATTGTGAAGAAGTGAATGATTTTGCAGGCTTGTTTGCTTGAGAATCTGGAAAGGTAATCAAAATATCGTCTTCCGTACGAATATGAGGATCTGAATTTAAAAAACAGGTCAGTCTTCTTTGTGGATTTTTTCTTCCATTCGGCTTGACTGGATGGTTTTCCTCAATTTGGTGGAAAGTATCAAACATTGCACTTCTCGGATCTGCAACTTAACATCACAGTTAACATCGAAGTTAATATGAATCGAACATGAATATTATTCGATGGGGTGGTACATGTATGTTGAATCTGAAACATACCTGAATTATATTTTCAATGCCCGTAGCTGGATTGCAACATATTCGTTTTCTTTCTAAATAATGGTTTCCTCAGTAGTCATCATCCATATTTCCACAAGGTTAATGAATGCCAAGTTGGTACTCTCCCTCGTAAGGGTACCTGTCGTGTTTCCATAGAGACATAAAGGTGAATATCTGTCTGTCTGTTTGCTTGAGAATGTGGAAAGGTATTCAATATATCGCCTCACGTACGAATTTGAAGATCTGAATTCATAAAGTATACTCTAGGTCCGCATTCTTTGTGGATCGTATCTTCGATTCGGCTTGACTGGATGGTTTTCCTCAATTTGGTGGGAAGTATCAAACATTGCACTTCTCGGATCTGCAACTAAACATCACCTATCAAATATCGAAGTTAAAATTAATCGAAAATGAAGATTATTCGATGCGGTGGTACATGGTTGTTGAATCTGAAACAAACCTGAATAATATTTTCAATGACCGTAGCTGGATTGCAACGTATTCGTTTCCTTTCTGAATAATGGTCTCCTCAGTGGTCATTATCCACATTTCCACATTACGTGGGTAATAATATTGACCTGGAAACACTGTACTGCCCGGATCTAAAACTAAGCATTTTGACATATTAATATATGGAAAGTCTAAATATTGTTTTCAACATTCGTAACTGGAACACGATATATTTTTGTAATTTATCAATTCATCAACTACTATCTCAATGGAGACGAGGCAGGCAGATAAACAACAATTTTCTCTGTAATGATAAACACTGTATATACCTAACCCATCAGGTGCCTACCTCCTTTGCAGAGAGGGTTTATGAACGCCAAGTTGGTACTCTCCCCTCGTAAGGGTACCTGTCATGTTTCCATAGAGACATAAAGGTGAATATCTGTCTGTCTGTCTGCTTGAGAACCTGGAAAAGAATTCAATATATCGCCTTCCGTACGAATATGAGGAACTGAATTCATAAAGTATACTCTAGGTCAGCATTCTTTGTGGATCGTTTCTTCGATTCGGCTTGACTGGATGGTTTTCCTCAATTTGGTGGGAAGTATCAAACATTGCACTTCTCGGATCTGCAACTAAACATCACCTATCAATATCGAAGTTGAAATGAATCGAAAATGAATATTTTTCGATGCGGTGGTACATGTATGTTGAATCTGAAACATACCTGAAATATATTTCCAATGCCCGTAGCTGGATTGCAACATATTCGTTATCTTTCTGATGAATGGTTTCCTCAGTAGTCATCATCCATATTTTCACAAGGTTAATGAACGCCAAGTTGGTACTCTCCCCTCGTAAGGGTACCTGTCGTGTTTCCATAAAGACATGAAGATGAATATCTGT